ATGTGGAGGCATGACCTCTCACTGATGGAAGTAGGCCTGTGTAGAGGACTAGGGTTCTACTCAGACCCATTGAAGGCAGAAGGTCAGATGCATGCTCAGCTAGTTGGTCTTCACTCTAGTATCACCATTTTATGATGTGAAAGGGGCACTGGGAAATAGGAGGAAACAGTGCCTCAACATGCTTACCTGTAATCTTCAGTACAGAAATATCCATGAGATATTAAGCCAGTTTTTTTTCTTTTTTCCCTTTACCTAATGTTCCCCAGCTGGATTGCAGTTGGTGTCACGATAAAAGTATAGATCCAAGAACAAACATGGTAGTTTCCCTGCATAAGATTGAATTCATTTTGCTTCTTCAAAAAGATCACAATGGGGATACTAGGCCGAAGATGAGCAGGATTTTTAAAGAGACAGACTTCATTTATTGGATAGGCCAACTTGGCTATTCTTCTTTGGAGCTTTAATTCTGTTTGCCATTTTTATTCCAGCCATATAGTGTTTCCCAAGTTGTGACAAATAAAGCTTTGATAAATCTCAGTCAGCTTTTTCATCTTTTCAGGGACAACCAGGTAAGAATGGAAGATGTGATCTCTTCCAACCACAATGAAGAAACTTGAAATTGTATTTCTTGTCCCTTTTAATACACTGAGCTAGATGAGAGATGACATTAAATGGGAAATATGCATAAATCTTGCACATGCTTTCACTTTACTGGTCTGCATATTTTTAATTTGTTATTTCATGTGAAGCCCAATTTCACTTTAGGTAGAACCTATAATATAGCCCCATCATTTGATTATTTTTCCTAGATGAGTAATATTAAACCAGGGTTGTTGATTAACCCACTGTCTACTTCACTCATTGAGCTCAGTTAAGAAAACAACCAAGTTAGGCTTAATGATAGCCACCATTGGGTTATCCAGTAGCTGCACCTCAGTCACTGGAATGTGGAGTACAAGTGAATAGGACCAAATTCTGCATCTATTTTGAGCCAGGATTTTTTCTGGATTAGAAGAGGTTGAAGGTTATTCTTCATTTTTAAAAGTTATGATGTTTAATGTTACACTTCAATTTATGTTTTTTTTCTGTGATGGGAGACAGTGCCAGAAATGTTCAGTTATTCTGATATTAGGCTTTGAGTTGAGTGTGACTCCTAGGGATCATGGATATCTTGGCAACAGTATGGAAGTGATTGTCTTCTTCCTACTAACGATACTAATTTATTAGACTGGTTTGCTGCAAACTCTCAGTGTGTCTGCATGAATTCTTCCAAGATATGTCTAGATTTACCAATCTAGTCCCTATACCTTTGAGTAGATCATAAAAATAGATTCAGCAATCACCTGTGGTTCTAAGAATTTGATATGCCCACATCTGGATTAATTAATCCTCAGCTTTTTGATGAATTAGGTTAAAGTGTGAGATTCATGGTTGGCTGAAAGATCTGAATTAGAGTAACAGTAATTTGGGTCTTTCTGCATGGTCCCATTAGCTCACAGCACCTTGGCTGATCTTGAGAAGCTAAGTGGAGTCAGATTTGGTTAGTTCTTAGATGGGAGACCAGAGGAAATCTCAGGGCTGTAAGTTAGACTAGAAAGTCTAGAATACATCTTGGGAGAAGACAATCACAAACCACTTCCACACTATTGCCAAGAAGTCCATGAAATAATCAAGACTTGATTCCAATTAAAGTAAAGGAATTCTCACCTTTACTTTCCTAGAAGCAGAAATGGTCCACGTGCAGGATTTGTGCCTCTTTTCAGTAAATTAGAGAAGAATTTCCAGTGTTGTTGCTTTAACAGCCTTTGCCAATCCGAGACCTTCAGAAATTCTGGATTAGCTCTGTTAACTCCCATCCAGTATGAGCCCAGAGGGTGCGGGAGTAGTAATCCAGACTCTCAAAAGGCACCAAACAGAGAAAAGTTGGCAGGCAGTCTTTTCTGTAAATAAAATATAACAATCAGGAAGCAAAAGAAAGAATGAAAGTTTTATTACTTGGATGCTGCTTCAAATATTGCTCCTCAGTTGCAGAAACACTGCTGATTGGGATGCCCCATTGCATTGGAACGCGGGCTTAATAAATATTATTGCTTCTCTGCATGAGCTGCCATTCAGAACTGTTGAAAATACACGATCCCACTATTGTAGAGGCACCACGTTGTCTGTAATAAATATATCATGCAGTACATCAAGTCTGAGTGACAGCTGTGCTGTAAGAAAATTGAAGAGAGGTTGGAAACAATGTAGGCTGAAGGGAAGAGGCCTGTTTTTCTTCTCTTTCTAAGTGTGCACTATTGATCCTCTTCAGCTATGGTCTTTTTATAGGAAAGTTAATGAAAGCATCATGTCAAATAATATTAAGAAGAAAGACAGGAGCATCGAAAGCTCATGGTGCATGTCGAATGTAAAGCTCAAATTAATCCCTTGGAATAATTTATAGGCCCTATGGAGAACCACCAGCCTATGGCCAATAAAGACAGGCCCTGGAGCTAAAATTATTGGCTCTGATTGAGATTCAGGTCCCTATTCTTCTGTTATGAATTCTTCAAGATTTCATCTGTAGAATGAGTTATTCTTATTAAGAATGTCATGTTGAGTTGAGCCCTCAACTCCTGTGGTTTTGCTGGCAGCGTTTATTTATTTAATTAAGTTTACATCCTGCCCATTTCACAATTCAAAGCGACTCTAGAAAGCTTACAATACAATTAAAAAAATAAATTAAAAAACATTAAAAGAAGAGTCACATAAAAAATATAAGCCAAGAGCACGTATGTCACAGAGGTGTATCTTCTCAATTGTTCCACCAGCCACTTCCAGCCTCAAGTGGCTTCATTTGGGCCCCACATCAATCAACAGAGCCAGGTTTTAAGGCCCTTCTGGAAGGCCAAAACAGTTGAGGGTGGATCTCACCTCCGGGAGCAAGCTGTTCCAAAGGGAAGGGGGTCACGGCAGAAAAGGCTCTTCTCCCAGATACCACCAGCTGAAATTTCTTGGCTGATAAGGTCCTCAGCATGCCCCTACTACTGGAGCAGATAGGGTGGCCAACCCCATTGAGGCAAGATAGTTCCTTAATTAATAATTAGGATTTGCTGTTGTGTTTTTCTGGGATGTTTTTTCCACTTCATACTCTAGACTGCATTATTAGAATTCCTGTTACACTGCCAAACAAGTCCCAATTAAGTCCAACCCTACTTAGCAACATGTCCTCCTCCACCACCACCCTTTTCTATTTCTACCATTCACACCCTCATTCAACCTATGATGTTCATTGTTCCTCAGTCTAACCTAGTGAGTTAAATTCAGTGTTGGTATGGTGATAAAATGTGGAGGGAACCCTCAGCTGGATCACCTTGTCTTCATAGGTGAGAGGCACAACTTCCATGCCATGCCAATCATTTAATCATTTGTAATAGTTACAACAGCTCTACAAAGTAGGCCAGAAGTTATAAGTTCATCTACTCATGAACAGAAGCTTCTCAAATAGTTAAATATGACATATTGTTTTGCCAGAGATCTTCAGTTCATATTTTTTTACACATGTAAATATCCATTTGAAAATTGGGTTTTAGTTATGACAGTCATTCTCTAATTTAAACAAGCAATCTGTCTTAGTGAGTTAGACTATCACTGGAAAAGAAATAAAAATCCAAATAGTAACTAAAATCAATCAATCAATCAATCAATCAATAACTAAATAAATAAATAAATACCTGAAACTCATCCAATTATCATAGCCCAATATGTCTACATAAGCTCATTTTCAAAAATGCAAAAATTAAATGTCAGAAAGGCATAGCCCCATGGTGCCAAACCTATGGCATGCGTGCCACAGGTGGCACGCAGAGCCCTCTCTGTGGGAACACATGCCATCGCCCCAGTCCTAGGGTTTTATAAAAACTTTTTGCTTTAGGCCTCTGCCACCGTGTGCAAAAAAAAAAAAAAGGTTCAATCAATCAATCAATTTCAACTTCTCATGGGGAAAAAAAAGATCTTGCAAAGTTGGAATTGATTGATTGAACTTTTTAGTCCCACCCAGTCTGCCATTACCATCGCAGCCATGCCCACCCAATGGGCCACGCCTATCCAATGGGCTATGCCCACCCGGCACCCAACGATACATAAGTGCGTTTTGGGTTGCAGTTTGGGCCCTCGGTCTCTAAAAGGTTCGCCATCACTGGCATAGCCTGAGCCCAGTTTATGTGCCACTCACAAACTTCTGCAAAAACTGCTACCTAAGCATAACCTTTAACAGATAAAAAAGGAGAAAAATATAATATGTCTGACCAGAGAGTATTCATACCATTTACATTTAATTTGAATCAAATATAAATGAAAGCAAAGCAGAATTAATTTTAATTTGCCCCATCCATTAGTTTTTGGAGTATGGTCCCTGGGATGGTGCTTAACCAAATGGAGTCCTCATCCTAGGAAAATTCCACATGATCCCGATCATGCAGGGTTCAGCCAAAGGTTAGTTTCTAAAAGCATGTCCCTCAGCAAAAGTTTTAGAAAGCTATGAGAAATTGTTCAGGATGTATAGCTAACCATGCTGAGGTCTTAAAATGATGGATTGTACTTTTTATGAGTGTATATTGCCAAAACCAAAAGATAGATCCTAAGATAGATCTTTAGAACGCTGCAGTTAACAATATGATAGCAAGTGGAATTTCCCCCAATTTGATGCCGCAAGGCAAGCTCTTCCAAACTTAAGCAAAACATATGAATCATTGGGATCAACAGCGAAAAAACATTTGTTTTTTTCTCTCAGAGAGATATTCTTTTACACAACATCAAAGAAAATTCATCAAGGTTGGAAACCATTCATGAGGATATCTATCAATAAAATAGATTCTGAGGTTTTTGCTCATTATTTTTAAACCCCCCCCCCATGATATCCTGCCCATTAAGTAGGATTTTCCTTCAATCTATCCTTACATTTCCTTGTTAACTAACAGTTTTGATATCACAGTATTTTTTTTTCAACTCTTTTGTTTCTCTAGAAGAGATCCTGAAAAGCCAGATTGCCCACTGGTGGTCTCCTGATGGCACAAGATTAGCCTATGCAACTATTAATGACTCCCGGGTCCCACTAATGGAGATCCCTACATTCACCGGAAGCCTTTACCCAAAAGCGGAAGCCTATCACTACCCAAAGGTAGGATAGATTTTACTATTCATCTAATATTCAAGATTTGGTTACTTTTACCTGGAGATGCAATTCAAAGTTAACTGAATACAGTTAGAAAAGCAAGATTATTTCTGAATGGATATTGTAATTATAGTTGTCAGAACTGATTCTGCTTCATCATCCCCTGCACCTGCTTGGCAGTTTGCCAAACAGAAGTGGGAGGGGTTTTTTTGGTAAATTTCTATGGAGGGGGGAGGACTAAGAAATGCATAAGAGCCTTCTGTCACCTGACAGGAGACAGCCACCAAGGTCAAGCTCCGAAAACTGTTCAAACCGTGCAGAATGTTTTCCCAAAACAAAAGCACTGCATGTAATTGGTGAACAATGAACTGTAGATGGCCCAGGGAAGAAAACCTATGCTAGGTTTTGCTGGAAAACCTCAGAACTAACTTTGCTTCTGCTGTACCTAGATGGATCTTTCAATAAAGTTTTACTCTTGGTGAACAGGGAGACATGGTGAAGCAGGCACAGCAATGCCTGCCGTTTCAGTGTCACATGAGAAAAGTATATCTTCCTTCCCCTGTCCTGACCACTTTCTACAGGGGGATGATTGAGAGCCTCCTGTCATACAGCATCTGGTTTGGAAGCATCACTGCTTTAGACAGGAAGACGGTGCAGAGAGTGGTGAGGATGGCTGAAAAGATCATTGGCATTTCTCTCCCTTCCATCCAGGACATAGCATAGAAGTGTTGCTTGAGCAGGGTCCACAAGATTGTCTGGGACACATCCTCTTCACAACCTGTATTCTTTGTTACCTTCTGGGAGGAGGCTCCGTGGTATCCAAAGCAGAACATCCAGATTCAGCCAGAATTTCATTCCATACAGCATTAACCTTGTGAACTCTCAAGCTTCCTCTTTCCATTATGTATTCAAGATGGACAGTGATTAATATTAGTATTTATATATATTGGTGTAGGTATATATATATGTTGTACATAGCATGTTTATATGTGAGTTATGTATGTTTACACTTCTGAGAGCAGGCAGCAGAATTTCATTTTTAATGTGTGCCAGTGTGTCCACTGTAAAAAATAACAATAAGGGTTATCTTATCTTATTTTATCTTAAACTCTTTGTATCAGGAGTTCCTTTTTTAGAATCTGCCAACTGGGACAGTTGACAATAGTCTTAAGTCAGGGTCATATTATAGAATCACAATTTTGTGGTTGCTCATTTAGCAACCACAGTTGGGATCAGCAACCCGGTCATGAAGCAAAGCAGTTGCAAAGTGTAATTGTGCTCATAGTCTTACTTCAGCTTTTCTTTGCTCTACAGATTTGCACAGGTCATAAACGCAAGAGTTAATTTATCATCACCTTCATAACGGCAAAGAGTTAATTTATCATCACTTTCATAACGGCAAAGAGTTATTAAATGAGGTAGTTGCTAAATGAGGACTGAGTTTAGGTCACTTTTTCAGCAAGGCTGTTGTCAGAAGTTCCAGAAGCTGTGAATGCTCTAATACTGGAAGTTTTTAAGAAGAGACTAGACAACCATTTGTCTGAAATGGTATAGAGTTTCCTGCCTGAGCAGGGGGTTGGACTAGATGACCTCCAAGGCCTTTCCAACTCTATTATTGTTGTTGTTATGGTTGTTATTTTCAAGATGACCAGAGGAGCAATGGGGTTGAGATGGAAAATAGGGCACTTTATGTGAAGCTGTGGCTTATGGACTATTCCCACTCTAAATACATAAAAATCCCTCAGTGGTAATTTTCTATCCTAACTGTTGTTATGTTCTCCTTTTGCCTTCTAGGTTGGGACAGAAAATCCAAGCATTTCCTTACATGCAGTTGTGTTGAATGGGCCTCCTCATGTTCTAGAGATGACTCCTCCTGATGATCCACGAATGAGGTTTGTGTGGTGCTACGTTAAAGTAAGGATGAGACCATGAGATGCAGCTCTGGTATATAATCAACCAACTTTATCCCTAGATTTTCTAATTCTATTCTTTCTTCATTTCCCTTCCCATTTTTGGGTGCTGGTTGTATCTTTTTGGATATCAGATAAGCTTATCTAGTTGTCTTGGTCCAGATTTAAGCCTGCTGGGTATAGGGACATAACACCAGTAGTAAAGATAGAAACTAAGTGACAAACCACGCTCAACATGTACCGTATATGCCGGCGTATAAGGCGAATTCCGCAAGCATTAAAATTGGCGCCAAAGACGGGGGTCGTCTTATACGCCGAGTCGTCTTATACGCCGGAAATACTGGTAGTTTCCGGTGTATAAGACGACGTTCTAGGAATGCGACTCGGCACCAAAGACGGGTCGTCTTATACGCCAGGTCACCTAATACGCCGGCATATACGGTAGTCGTTAATTGAACTACATCTACATGGAAGGAAGGAAGCAATGGGGTACCCCAAGTTTCTGCCTTAAGCCCAGTAGTCTTCAGTATTTTTATGAACGATGTAGATGAAGGAATAGGAAGGGAACTCATCAGATTTGTAGACAACACCAAGCTGGCAGGAATAGCCAACACCCCAGTAGGTTCAAGATCCAGAAGGATCTTGACAGACTTGAACACTGGGCCCCATCTAATAAAATGAAATTCAATATCGAGAAAAGTAAGATTTTACACTTAGGCACAAAAAACCAAATGTGTTGGTACAGATTAGGTGAAACCTGGCTCAATAGTAGTAAATGCAAGAGGGATAGTAGACAATCACTTAAATGTGAGCCAGTAGTGTGTTGCAGCAACCAAAAAAGCCAATGCAATCCTAGGTTGCATTAATAAAGAAATAAAATCAAGATCACATAAAGTTCTAGTACCACTTTATAAAGCCTTACTAAGATCACATCTGGAATACTGCATTCAGTTTTGGTCACCACATTATAAAAAAAAACATTGAGACTCTGGAATGAGTGCAGAGAAGAGCCTGGAGGCTAAATCATATGAAGAATGGTTGCAGAAATTGGGTATCTCTAGTTTAATGAAAAGAATGATGGAGTGACATGATAGCAGTGGTCCAATATTTAAGAGACTGCCACAAGGAAAAAGGGGGCAAACCTATTTTCAAAGTACCAGAAGGCAAGACAAAAAGTAACGGGAGACTATCAAAGAGATATCCAGCCTAGAACTAAGAAGAAATTTCCTGACAGTGAGAATAGTTAACCAATGGAACGATTTTCCCTGGAAGTTGTAGGTGCTCCAACACTGGAAGTTTTTAAGAAGAAACTGGATAGCCATTTGTCTGAAATGGTATAGGTTTCCTGCCTGAGCAGGAGGTTGGACTAGATGACCTCCAAGGTCCCTTCCAAGTCTGTTATTCTGTTATTCTGAATCAGGTTCACTTCAATGAAACCTATTTCATTCCTCTAATAAAAAAACTCTAAGCATATTCTAATATATATTTAAGCCACAGTTAAATGCCTATGAAAGCAATGGAGTCCAATGGACTATTGTCAATAAAATCCAGTCACTCATACTTCAGTATCTCTCAGTCCATTCAGTATTAGTTGGGATGTTGTTCCCTTATTGTACCATCCAATAGCCAGTTTGGTCTAGTGGTAAAGGCAGCAAGCTAGAGAAACCAGGAGACAGTGAATTCTAGTCCCGCCTTAGGCGTGAAAGCTGGCTGGGTGACTGGGGCAATCATCAGGAGAAGGTAATTTCTAGCCCTATCTTAAACTATGAAACTTTGGTTCAGTCCTTCTCTCTCAGCCCACCTCACAGGGCTAGTGTTGTGGAAAAAATAAGAAAAAGAAGAAGCATTGAGTTATGTGTACAAATAATAAAGGTAGAGTGTAAATAAATAAATTCTAGCTCTGATGTTACCATAATCAAACAAAAGGAGAGTGTCTTGGTCTTTCATCTCCATAATAGGGACATGGAAAATTCTTAGCCAGCAAGAACAGGGGATTCAATTCCATGGGGGCAAAATGCAGTAGCATCCACTATAGATTTAGTATACATTGCATAGCAACTTTATAGATTTAGTATGCATGGCAGCTGAAATAGTGGGGTGGAGGGAAGGAATAGGAATATTTGCTATTGGTGAGTAGAGGGAGCGAAAGCAAGAGGTTGTGCTTCACTCAGCCTGGGCAAAAATAGAATGAGTGCCCCCCCCCCCGGAGCTGTAAGATTTGAACGGAGCAATGCTTTCAGAAACAGTGAAAAATAACAGGGCAAAGAAAGTTCATGTCTTAATGGGTCATGGTAGGAGCAACAGGATGATACGGTAATTATGGAAGTCCCTGAACAGCAGAGAACAGAACAGCCCAGGGTGAAAACACAGGGCAAGAGGGACTACTGGGAAACTCATGGATCTGATGGCTGCGGTCAAGAGAGGGGCTCTTTGAAATTCCACTCCCAATCACGGACAAGATAAGGATCACTGTACGTTTGCTCCAGGCACAGCCTCCCTGAAAAGAGGTCACACAATAGCAATTTCCACTGTGTTCAAAAGTTGGTCATCTCCTGACCAGCAGAGAAAAGAGCAGATCTGATGGAATGGATTTCCTGGAGGGAGGGAAGGTGCATTTCGGAGGAGCAACAGGCCAATCAGTCCAGATATTGTCAACTCTACAAATGAGCATAGCTGCAGCCATGTTTTCTTCTCATTCTAAGTTGTCACATAAGTTGGGGGTTGCCCAGGTGCTTAATTAGTCAAAATAATTTTCTATCCCGTGGGAACCAAGGTCACTGGCTGCTCCCGAGACTAGAGACTGAGAATTGCATAAAAAGCCCACCAAATAATCATACTGGGGAATGTAGTAGATTGCACAGTTTAATGGGTGGGACATTTAACTTTGTATTGGGAAATTGTTACGTGTATCCAGATTTGGTTTCATTTTTGACCATGCTGATACTTTGTAGCTAATAAACATGTTCTTTGAGGAATTTGCAAGCCTCGGAGTTCATCTCTATTCATCTCTTCTGTTTGAATCACGAATGATATCATGTGTGAGAGAAATGGGTGAAGGCAGCTCACTTCACTTGTAAGATATACTTTTCTTATAAGATACATTCACTACGTGAGTGCTAAATTTGGCAAGTTTTTGCCTGTAGGTGTAAAATATTTTTTTTTAAAACTCAACTTGGAAGAATCACCATGTTATATTTTTGGTTTTGAGCCTGACATCAATCTTGCTATGCAAGAAATCTGATATCTAGACTATGGCCATTAAACTGCAAAGCTTAACACTGCCCAACACATGGGCATATAGACAAATAAAAAAGCTAAAAAGGAAATGAAAAGACTAAAACACTTTTTCACCAGCAATCAACACCCAGATAAGCAGAGATTAATAACAAGATTAATACTAGACAAACCATCAAACTGTAAACAGGAGCCTAATCAGGAAATCATCAAGGTCCTTCATCCTGGTGGGGAATTTGTGGTAAGAGGGAATATTTAACCTGTCCAACTTGCACTTGTGTTTTTCTGCCCATTTGTGTTCCTTTGGCAAAAGCCCATATTCTGTGTATCCTATTCTCTAAGCTGCAGCTGAATTTGTGGGCTAAACCTTGCTAACAGCTGCAGAATTAATCCTGGGTTTATTATTTCTCATCTTCCTTTCTCAATTCCCGAATCTTTTGTATGCACAGCCAATCCATCCCAAAACGCAGGAGTTTTCTCTCCAGCAATGTAGCACATTAATCCCAATGAGAGCAATGGCTCCTTATACATATTTTATAGACAACAAATGAACTCATAAAAATTGTATGGACTGTACACATTATGAAAAGCTACTGTATGATAATTTAAAGATGGCTTTGACCTGCAGGTTCTACTTGAATATGATCAGGCAGCGTGGATTGTCAGTTTTACTGTTGTGGAGGGCTCTTTTTTCAGCCCGACCCCTTCTTCTCCAATTCTAGGCAAAAAATCTACTTATATTCCATCTCAGATATTACGGTAAAGCCTAACACCAAATGAAACTCTTACATTCTGGCTTAAGTATGAATGTCCTTTGTGAAATGGAATTTCTGAGATGGACAAAGCCAAAATAATGTCATTATTTAAGAAGACATTGTTTTACTACAATGAGAAAGTTGACCAGGCCAAGTTTGAAAATCTGTTCCACCTATTGCTTAGATATTGACAAGCTAATAGATGTCAAGATTCTGGTTCTCCCCCTTTCTTTAAAAAAACAACTTTATTTTTATACCAGACCTGGATTTCAAATAGGACTATCTTTTTATAGCCAGAACCCATGATCACCCTTTAGCTACTAAAGGTACCTTTCATAGACGTTTGCCTCTTGTGATCTGCTATAGCTTATTAAGGCTTTTTGTTGGTCTCCAGGGGCTTCGGTATTTTGGCTAGAGGTGATTAGAAAAACTCAAGGGGGGGGTGTAGTGACTCATCCTAGACTAAAATGTATTGAAAATCACTGTAATGATTCAGTGTTGGAGTAGGACTTGGGAAATTCAGGTCAGACATTTAATAACGAGTGATTTGGGACTGATCGTTCTCTCTTCAGCCCAATCTTTTTGTTGTAGAGGAAAACCAGAGTAAAAAGTTCAGTAGTCCTCTACTTACAGCCATTTATTTAGTGATTATTCAAAGTTGGTCACTGAAACAGTTGATTCTTAAGCAACCCTTATGTACACACACACACACACACACACACACACACAGAGAGAGAGAGAGAGAGAGAGAGAGAGAGAGAGAGAGAGAGAGAGAGAGAGAGAGAGAGGCAGGGGGGGAGAGAGAGAGAGACGGGGAGAGAGGGAAAGGGAGAGAGGAAGGGATAGAGAGAGAGGGAGGGGGAAATAGAGAGAGGGGGGAGAGGGAGAGAGAGATGAATGTAATGTTAGCATTTTGGACCAGATCTACAGAGTTTTTCACCAAGCTGATCTGAATTAACAGTGGCATCACCAGCCTAGAAGCATAAACTGTTTACTGGTGACATGTGAAGCATAAACTGTTTACTGGTGACAGATGTTTTGTTACTTCACATTGTACGGTGATAGGGGAGATCATAAAGATGTTACTTGCTTGTTCTCCTGATTGCTGCAATTATTTATTTAGCATTTAACATTATAGGATTCTCCCTTTTGCAGAACAAAAGGAAGATGATAGAGGAGATAAAAGGCAAATGTGAGAAGTGAGTATTACGTAATGTTGCATAGTAAAAGAATCAACGGGAATCCTACTAGGGACAGTCATAAGTGTGGAAGAGTTTAATTGAATTGAAACTGTCTGAGCATGGTTGTTTTCTTGCAGATATTTTGTTACCCAACTAGGTAATGTCAACAGTGTTTGTCTATAAACTCTGCAAGAGAGAGCACATGTGAGACAAGCAACCCTTGATTTTGTCTGTTTCAAATTCAATTTGTAGAGGGTATTTTCGGTTACATTGACATGTAACATTCTCTCCAAATATGATTCATCAGTTATGTGTGGTTAGGGGTGTCAAACTGTGGGATACAAACCCTCTACTAGTAACTGATTTCATAGATCTTTGCACTTTAGTGATCGCATAAAGCCTTAGAAGTTAACCTGCTGCTCTCACTGGTTGCAGGAAGGAATAAACACAAAAGTTATCAGAAGTAAATATTGTATGTAATCTTCCTTCCCTCAGGCCAGTGTTTCCCAACCATTGCAATATTCAGGCTTGTAGATTTCAAATTCTAGAATTCCACAGCCAGCATGGTCATTAAACAGAATTCTGGGAGTTGAAGTCCATACATCTAAAAATTGACATGGCTGGGAAACACAACCTTAACCTGTCAGAGCAGAGAGATATAGTGGTACCTTAGTACTCAACTCATCAAATTTGTACTCAATGTATTTTAATGTGAAAAATTGTTCTGATACTCAGCACACAAGCTAGAATTTCAATAGAGCATCAGCTACCTTGTGACGCACTACATTATTCCTTATGGGAAAAATTTGTTCCATATTCATCATTTTTGGTACACATTGAGTCTCCCAGAACCAAGTAACGATGAGTACTGAGGTACCAATGTATGTATTTTTATTGTTTGATTTGATTTGATTGGTATACAATTCAACATCCAGAGATTCTGTTATATGATGTCATATTCCTGTATAGTGTGTGTGTGTGTGTGTGTGTGTGTGTGTGAGAGAGAGAGAGAGAGAGAGAGAGAGAGAGAGAGAGAGAGAGAGAGAGAGAGAGAGAGAGAGGGAGGGAGGGAGAGGGAGGGGGAGAGAGAGAGAGAGAGAGAAAGAAAGAGAGAGAAAGAAAGAGAGAGAGAGAGAGTCATGGAAAAACCTATACAGTATGTTATGGCATAATAGAATATCTATATATCTCAGCTCTGATGGCCTAAGGGAAATGGACAGTATATACTTTTTCAGTGGATTTGTGGCGTATACTTTTGAGTTTTACATACGAGTGTACAGTAGTATAACACCCTGAATTCCTCAGCCAACAGAGAGGTGAACTCTATCTGTCTTAAAGTTGCCAAGGTTGAGAGACATGTATAGTAAAAATTAACCGATTTATGATCTCACCAATGTTTGTGGGAAGGCAGATCATTCTATATGATTATTACAGACATACATGGAGGTATCCAGGTAAGAGAACTCAGTTCAGAGCATAGGTATCTACTAGTCCAACAATGTGCACTGTGATAATAGAAGCTCCACTCCTTGTGTGTGCAAACTTATAACACAAATATCAGTGAGCAGGACTTGTATCACAACATCATGAAACATTTCACACATTCACCTTCATGGTTAGGAATGACCCCGATGATGAAAGACCATCCTTGTCATGATCTTTATAGACCATGCCTTGTAGGAACATAATCTATGCATCAGACTGTCTCTTTGATCAGCTTTATTACATTTCCAAATATATAGAATGGAAGCTTTTAAATGAAGAGAGCTAGTTTAGTCTACTGGTTAAGACATCCAGCTAGAAACCAGAAGTTGATGAGTCCTAGTCCTGCCTTAGGCATAAAAACCAGCTGGGTGACTTAAGGCTGGTCGCTCTCTCTCAGCCTAACCCACTTCACAGGAAATACTCTTATAAGGTATGTTTGCTGCCTTACGTTATTAATAAAGATGGGTTTTTTTTAAAAAAAATGTTTAAAAAATGCCCTGATTTGTTTTTCAGAGATTACTATATAACCATGGTGAAGTGGGCAACCAGCACCAAGATTGCAGTCAACTGGCTAAATAGAGCACAGAACTTTTCCATTCTGACTCTCTGTGACGCAACCACAGGCGTCTGCACAAAGGTATATATATATATACTAGCTGTACCCAGCCACGCGTTGCTGTGGCTCAGCGTGGTTAAATGGAAAAGAAAGAAAATATGTTTAATTTCACAATGCTTGTGGGTATACAATATTTTTTGTTGTTCCATTGTGTGTGCAGATATAGAGATTACGTCCAACAGATGGTGCTGTTTTTCCAAAAAAGCATGTTTTTACCTGTCACAGGTGTGACATCTATATAATATAGGTATATAAAAACACGCTCGTATTTGAATGCAACGTTGTGTCAAATTTTCAAAGTAATCGGTGAAGAACTTTCAGAGATTTAAGATTTTGAACAAACGAACGTTTACATTTTTATTGTTAACGTTAACGTTTTAATGTTAACGTTTACATTATATATATGTAGGTCTTTGGTTATCTGGGTTTTCTCCCGCGTCAAATTGGAAGTGTCTTGGCGACGTTTTGACAAAGTCTCATTTGTCATCTTCAGGCTGGTGTTTTCAGCTTTGTGCTTCTAGGAGCACCCATGGGATCACCCCTCTCACCTGTCATTGCAAACCTCTACATGGAACACTTTGAAACCCAAGCTCTAGAAAAATCTGATCACAAACCCAAACTCTGGCTCAGATACGTAGACAACACCTTCATAATCTGGCCACATGGGAAAGAAAAACTGGAAAATTCCTCTTACACCTCAACAGCCTACATCCCAAAATACAGTTCACCATGGAAACAGAAGCTAACAACAACTTTCCTTCCTGGATGTCTTAGTCTACAAGAAATCCAATGGCTCCCTAGGACACACCATCTACCAGAAGAAAACACACACAAACCGCTATCTGCACGCTCTCTCACACCACCACCCAGCACAGATCAACTCCGTAGCCAAGATACTCATCTCTAGAACAAAACGCTTAGCTGATGAACAACACCTAAAAACCAAACTACTCACTAATGTACTTACATCCAATGGATTCCAAAGAAATAAGATTACCAAACTAATCCAAAAAGAAACCCCCACTGAAATCCAAGACAGAGAACAAGAAAACAGCAAAGCCCTCCTCCCTTACATAAAAGGTACTACAGACAGAATCAGCAAGATCCTCCACAAACACAACATTAAGACAGCATTCTGCACAAATAGAAAAATATCCACCATCCTAAGAAGAATAAGTGCACGCATTGAAGAACACAAGAACTCAGTCAAAAAAGAGGAACCAACTTCTTCCCTGGTCCAACACCTTAAAGCCACAAAAGATGAAATTGATTTTAAAAAGACCAAAACTATCGCCAAAACTGAACACTTTAATAACAGAATAATCAGAGAAGCCATTGAGATAGAAAAACTCCCACACAGCATGAACAAATGAGATGATACCTCCCGCCTACCAGCCATTTGGAAACCCGCCCTTATTGACAAACGAGTCCCTAACACAAAGAATGACACCAGACCCACACTCACGAAAGCCACACAGGATGTCACCACCACACGTCCACGCAAAAAGCAAACCCAAACCCACACCGATGATGAGGCACGATCACACACCAGAAGCCAGACCACAGCTGCATCATTAGCCACTTTAAACCCCTCCAATCCATACCTGAAGCAAACTGACACCCACCATGAAGATGAGGCTCGACCACGAACGCGAAGCCAAACAACAGCAACGCAGCTCACCATCTCACATCCCCCTGCAACTCAGACTACCTGAGCACAACAAAGCTCCCACCCAAACAGAACACTCAACCATCCAATCACAGCCAAGCCCCTAACAAATCAGAACACACCTCCACCCAATCAGAGCACAGCCAAGCTCCCACCCAATCAGTTCATACCCCCACTGGCATTTAAAAGGAAGAAACAGCTACGATCACACATTGCTCCTAGAAGCACGAAGCCAAAAACATCAGCCTGAAGATGACGAATAGGACTTCATCGAAACGTCGCCAAAACTCTTCCAATTTTACGCGGGAGAAAACCCAAATAACCAAAGACATATATATATATATATGCATTATTTTTTTCAGTGGATGAAGGCTGCTTTTTTGTTTTAAATCTCAAGATGACTGAGCATACAGTCAATCAATCAAATAAATAAATAAGCAAAATCCTCTACTAGCATTTGAACAATTCCTTTTTCTATGATTAGTTTTCATTTTTCAAGTATGAAAATGGAATATCACAGAAAATATATAACACTGGAAAAAATATATAATCAATTTTGACTGTCATTCTATCCATAGAGATTGTTTTTTTTCCACTTTTAAGATGCATCATGCAATTTTGCAGCTGCTTTTGTTTCGGGCATATTACATCATACAAGATTTTTTTTTAAGTATAGGTAGTCTTTGACCTATGTCCAGTGACTTATCCACTGTTCAAAGTTATGCTGGACCTATCCGGGAACTACATATGCCTTGTATTCTATGTTACGATGCTTGGTCCCTCCCCTCTGCGGTCATATGATCAAATTTTAGGTGCTCAGCAACTGAACTGCATTTATGATCATTTGCAGCATCCCACAGTCACATGACCAAATTTTACTATGGTTTTGCTGAAAACCAGCTTTTACTTCCATCCATAGCAAACCATGTGTTTAGTTAACAGTTAATGAGTGTGTTGGCCTCTTTACAACTGCAGGGTTCGTTTAACGACCACCATAAAAGGGTCATAAAATCATTTTATGACCAGCATAACTTACGTGTGATGGGGAAGCTCCGTTATGTAAGTCACAAACTACCTCTGCTTTTTTGTTACCTGTATTCTGCTCCAAAGGATGTATGTGAGATTTAGGAAGGAGCCATTCCATGAAAAATATCTGTGTGCCTTTCAATTCATCACCAGCAAGATAAGCTTATCTCTGTTTTAATGTGTCTTTTCCAGTGTTTGGATTAAGTATTGTCATTTATATTATGTGGCAGACCTCTGCCATTGCAGTGATAGAATATAGGAATCAAGTCCTCCACTCAAACTTCCATTCTTATAGTTGCCCTGTTAACAGTATTAACTTGCTGTTACTTTGATCCTTCACCAATTCTGCTGGCCATATTTTCAGAAATAGTTTGCCTTTGTCTTGTTCCTCTCTTCTTCCTGAGAGAAGGGACTGGCCCAAGACCACCCACCTGATTTCATACTCCTCCTCCAATGTCATTCACTACTGCACCAAGTTAGCTCTTTTTTGAAATAGGATTGGGACAGATTTCAGATTGGACAAAATTCAGATCTGAAGCTGTTGGTACAGCTTCTACTCCATAAAATCACTGTCTGTCAGGCTGCCTGTTTCTTTAATTCCTCCCTCAAGAAGATACCCTGGATGAGGAGAAAAAAAAACCCACAGAAGCTACCGGTTTAAGCATCTCCTGAAGACCACCCAGAAACTTCTACTGGTCAAAAATGTAGCCCTGGATTGGTTTACCCATGTTGTGTGAGCAGCACTGGTTTCCAGTTTCTTTCTGGGAGCAATTCAAAGTGGTTGTCATCACTTTTAAAGCTCTAAATGGCACATTTCCAGATTATCTGCAGGACCTTATTTTTTTAAGAATATCCACCCATCCAACAGGTCAATTAAGGTGGGCATGCTTCTAGTCTCTTCCCCTCAGTATTGCCATTTGATGGGAGCTAGGAAGCCTGCCTTTTGCATGGCAATCCCTGCCCTATGGAACACGCTTACCCCCCTAATATTTGGCAGGCCCCTGCCCTCCTAGCCTTCTGCCAAACCTTAGAGACCCAGACCTAGTTCCCCCCCTCCAAGCACTGGGATAAAGTGAGGTGACTGCATGTCAGAAGATAGACTTGGCACCAGGTTTTGGTTTTATGGTTTTTATTTATTTTATTTATTTTAAAAAATTATATTGCCACCTACTTGCACATGCAACTCAAGGCAGCTTATACAGATATAAAAATACCATGTAAAAGGAATAAAAATAAGAAAAATAATAAAATAACCCCCCACACACACACACGCTGTCGACAACACACATTCAAACTAGCCATTAAATGGGCTCCGTCCCGCTCTGGGTTCTGCCTGCTGGCAGAACCAGGTCTTCAATGCCTTCTGAAAGAGTCTTGAGTGGTGGGGGCAGTGTAATCTCTGTGGGGTTGATGTTCCAGAGAGAGGGAGCCACCATGGAGAAGGCCCCTCTTCTGGGTCCCACCAAATGTACCTCCTTAGGGGATGGGACCAGCAACATTACTTGCCTCCCTGGTCTAGTGGGTCAGGTAGATGTGACCTGCAAGAGACGGTCGCTCAGATAACCTGGTCCCAAGCCATGAAGGGATTTAAATTGCAACCAATGCAGCTCCCACAGGAGAGATCATACATGTGCATACTGAGGTCTATACAAAACCATGTGGGCTGCTGCATTTTGCACCATTTATGCATTTTAGCTTTTGCTGCATTTATGTTATTTTAGCTTTGGGTTGGAAGCTGTCCTGGGTTTGTTATAAGGTAGGTGGCTATGTAAATGTTTTAAACAAATAAATATCTCCAAAGATAACTGCTGAGCTGTAAATGCATTCACTTGTTTAACTAGGGAGCAGTACTAGTTTAACAAGAATCAAAACCAAGAATAGTATCTATCGTTTGTGTTGCCTATTCAGAGGCTTCATCTCTTTTTGCTCATTTACTGTTGGATTTGCTTTCTGCACTGATGAGCAAAATATAATAAGTAAAAAGTATACTTTAATTATGTGTCTTCATTTCAGAAACATGAGGATGAGAGCACAGCCTGGCTGCATCGACAGGTAATAGTAGTTTTTTTTAATGGGATCGGTGTTCTTTTACTTTGCAAAAGAAAAAAGTATTTTCAACAATAGAAATGTTCTACTATTTTCATTACAAGAAGGATTATATTTATACAGACATGAAGATTTAAGAGAGATAAACTTACACATCGTTTCAGATTAATTGTGGTTTCAGGGCGTTTTTATTTCATTAATTTTATTTCATTCTGTAAAGAGGACTATAAAGGTTTGAAAACAGTCACAGACCTGTCAGATGTTAAGCAAACTAGTTTCAGAGCAATCTCGGTTCCAAATACACAATTTGAAAATTGATCTCAACTACTGTGATAGGATGTTATGATTGGTTCCAATGGAGACTTTTCCCTAGAAGTCTCTGCATACCTTTTATTATCTAGCATTAGAGCTGGAATAAAATGCTTTGATGTACTTTCCACTTATATTTTCAAAATTCATAAAATCTCTTTGATAACATGTATTCTATAAACCTGAATCAAATATGAATGCAGTGCTTAGACACATACAAACACACAGGCCTCTGGGTCAGTTTTTGGCTTCTGGTGGCGATCTGGGAAAAATTTTGCAGTTTTCCTGGAAAGATTTTGGCGTAGTTTGTCATTGCTAATTTCCACTAGTTGTTCCTGACCTGAAAGGTTTGACATTCATCTTGAAGACACCCTTGTCTCAGAACTAGTGTGGGAATGATGAAACATAGGATCAGCAGCCCAAGCTACAACTCACACGTTCATTTTTATGACATCTTGAATGCGAGAGAAAAATTACTCCATGTGTTTGGATTTTGCAAAGAAGATGGAAGAGCAACTTCTAAAAAATAAACAAATTTGGTTCAGTTATTACAGCTTAGCACACAATCTTGGCAGAAATGAAGGATGAAACTATAAGCTCCTTTAAAATAGATATGAGATGCCTTCTGGCTGTTTCTGTGTAGATCTGTGTATGTGTGTCTAAAGCTTTTTAAAAACGTGGCCGGAAGAAAACATCTTTGAAGATCAAGATGCTTCAGGTGCCCTCAAATCTCTTCAGGGCTCCTTCCTTTGATAAGGGGTCCTACTAAAATCAAAAAGAAAACCAGATTTATTTTATTAATGAGTAGCTAGAGCAGGATCCTTAGATACCCTGCTACATAATGATTTAGTTCAGCTTGTAACTACCAAGGAAGAGGTGCACATTCTCGAAAGAGACAGACAGAATGAGAAACTGGCTCTGCTGCACTTGATATGTCTCTTGCTCTTTCTCTCTCCAACTCCTTTACATCATCTTTATAAACTACATTTGCACCTTCTCGTTATTTTGCAGAATGAAGAGCCCATTTTCTCCAAAGATGGCAAGAAGTTCTTTTTTGTTCGAGCCATTCCTCAGGGGGGGCGAGGAGAGTTCTACCATATTGCCATGTCATCATCTCAGGTGAGACTACCTTTATTTAGCTGGTGAGTGAGATGAAGATAAATATGCATAGTTCTTATGACAAGGAAGATGGCTGCCACCAAGTCAAAATGTCCTCTGTCCAAATCAGCAATGTCTGAATATGAACCAAGGTTTTATGGAAAGAAACCTGGTTTGTTATTGGTAGAAGATGATGATGACCAGGTATTTGCAGGTAGTGCTCACTTAGGGACCATTTGAAGTTATAACCCACCCCAAAAATCTACTTATGATGCAGATTTGAAGGTCCAAATACCATCCTTCTCTGCCGCCCACAATCTTGTGATTGCATTTTGGGTGACTGGCAAGTGACCCACATTTATGGCCAGAGTTGCCAGCATTTACTTCCAGTTTTTGACAAAAAACACGCCTATTGCAATCAATGGGTTCAATTAAACACCACCAAAAAAATATCATGAAATCAGATCAGACGTGATGACCCGCTTAAGAACCAGCATGATTTATGACCTCTTAATAAGTCAGCGAACATGCCTTTCTTCTCCTATTTTCCCCCACAACAACACGACCCTGTGAGATGGGTTGGGCTGAGAGAGAAGAGATCAGTTGGCTTTCATGCCTAAGTCAGGACTAGAACTCACAATCTGTGAGCTTCTTGGAGGAGATAAAAATTCAACAAATGCCAAACTAAAATAGATACATTATTATGATTAGATTTCACCTGATTTTAGCCACTCTGGAAGAAAAATGAGGACAAGTGTTAATTGTTACCATTTAATAGAATTTACTATTCACACTTCTGGAACCCATGTAGAAACTGTAATATAATTATTTCTACTTCCTCTGACTTTTGCAGTGCAATCCATCAATTATTAATAGATTCAAAAATATCGATGTAAATAGCAATAGCATTTAGATTTATATACCAGTTCGTGGTGCTTTACAGCACTCCCTGAGTGGTTTACAAATATTAGCATATTGCTCCCCACAGTCTAGCTCTTCATTTTACCAACCTTGGAAGGATAGAAGGCTGAGTCAACTTTGAGCCATTCACAGTCAAACTCTTGGCAGTGGGCAGAGTTTGCCTGTAATACTGGCACTGTGTCACCACAGCTCTTAAATATGCATAACAATCAGAGGTCTATTAGAGTTTAATGTATCAAAAATTAGTAATTGGTCAATGGTCCTCTGAACTTATCAAATAAGACTCAAGTGTTCTCTCTTTTTTGGAAAATGAATTTGGGGCACAGATGGAGGAAAAAGTGAATTTAGTGCCTTCCTGCTATTTAAGTATTATTTCTAGGTGTTTGAGAAAGTTATCAGGGTCTAGGAAAATCTGTTTTAGTTTTTACAATAGGGTTGCTGTTCAGATATTTCCATGAGCTTATACAGGTAGTCCTCAATTTATGGCCAGTTGTTTAGTGACCATTCAAAATTACAACCAACCCCAAAATGGGAACTTACAACCCATATTCAAAATTCTGACAATCTGGTCTGCAGAATTACCTCTTCCTTGCAAAAATTCTTTGCAAAATTCAATCTTTGGAAAATATTGCATCCAAAATTGTACATATGGACAAAAGACAGCAATGACAACCTGACAAGTTCTTCTTTCTGTCTTCCACATGGAAAGACCTCAATACAGATAGTCCTCCCTTAATGACCAGATTTAGAGCTTGAAAAGCATCCTTGGCCATCATATATGGTCATGCTATCACCTGCCTGCAGTCATGTGAGTCAGCTTTATCACCCATTAGGGTGTTCTGGAGACACGTTTATAATGTTTTTTTGCTGGTTTCTGCCAAAAAAACCCAGCCATGAATGGTTTGTGTAACAACTGTTGCATTCACTCAACGATCACAGCATTTGCTTAATCACTACTACAGAAAAAGCCAGAAATTTACTTCCAGTCATGTGGGCACCTCAACTTACAATTTTAGCAAATTACAACCATAATTTAGCTTAATTACAGTTGTAATTCAAGGACTACCCACAATACTTTTTTCTCCCTTTGCTTCCCTTTTCTCCCTTAATGAAAAGAAGGATTAGGGATGACATGATAGCAGTCTTCCAATATCTCAGGGGCTGCCACAAAGAAGAGGGAGTCAAGCTATTCTCCAAAGCGCCTGAAGGCAGGACAAGAAGCAACGGGTGGAAACTAAGCAAGGAGAGAAGCAACCTAGAACTAAGGAGAAACTTCCTGACAGTTAGAACAATTAACCAGTGGAACAACCTGCCTCCAGAAGCGGTGAATGCTCCAATACTGGAAGTTTTTAAGAAGAGACTGGACAGCCATTTGTCCGAAATGGTATAGGGTTTCCTGCCTGAGCAGGGGGTTGGACTAGATGACCTCCAAGGTCCCTTCCAACTCTGTTCTTCTGTTATTCTGCTCTTGAGTAAGGAATATGTTTATTTTGGGCATAAATTCAAGCCCCCTTTTTACATACCATTTATATTTTAAGACTGTAAAGAAAAGGTGGAGCATAATGCTATTTTTCAGACTGTGGTAGAGAATTTGAGAGAATATGTTTGAAAAAAAGGTAAGTCTGATTTTTACTGATAAGAGGTTTTCCTAAATCTTTCTGAAGTTCTTATTTTCTTCTTTTTCTTGGCAGCCCAATAGCAGCAATGATAATTTACAGTCTATTACATCGGGTGACTGGGATGTGACCAAAATTTTGGGCTATGATGAGAAGCAGCATAAAATGTAAGTAATTTTTTTTTTTAAAGTAAAGGAAGCTGATCTAATTTGAGATTTACATAGGATAGCCTGATCAGTGGAAAGCATCTGTGGCCTGCTGGAAGCCAAAAAATGTGTATCGGTTTTACTTTGGTTGAGATGAAAGTCCCAATCTGTGAAATAATAACAGATTGTTATGAAGACCCTCCTGCTGTCATAGGGCCATTGAAGCAATTTCTGCTGCATGTGAAATGGGAAGATCTGACTTGGCAGTAGTGGACCAGCAGCCGAACGTGAGCAAACAGTGTGATGCAGCAGTTGAACAGGCCAATGCAATCTTGGGTTTCATTAACACAAGCATTGCATTCAACTTATGGAGTTAATTCCATCCTGGAATTCAACCCCTTTGAGGAATAATTTGAGGAATGAGGCAAGTTTACATTACAAAAGCATTTAAACAAGATCAATTAGCTATACAGTTATCCTTATATAAGACTATCATAGTAAAAGGGTCAGATCGATTCCCTGCTTTGGGACAAGTTAAGACCCATAAGTTGAATTAAAAGAGGAAGATCCAGACTGAAGCTGAGGAGGAATTTTGTGATATCAATAAATATTATTTGCTGTAGATTTTTAAATGGTGACTGGAGGACCTCTTGTCCTAAATGGCTAAGCAGATTTCTGCATTAAACAGGAGGTTGGATTGTATGACCTCTGGATTCCTTTGCAACACATGCATTCTTTGACAGATAAAAGAAGCACTTTGGATATATCTTGTTGTTATTATTATTTGTCCTTTGATTTTTATGCCGAACTGATCCGATTGTCAGAAAAGAAAATTTAATGAATTTCCAGGATTTTTTTTTTTTTGTTAAAAGTAGTATTAAAATGCATTGAATGATGTAACCTTTTGTGTCTGAAATATCTTAATTTGGGGAGAAGAATGAGAACTGTTAAAGAGGATTCATTGCTGAACTGTCAGTCTTGTTATAGCAGTAGTTTAAATCAGTACAATGGAAATGTTATTTTTCTATTGCTTTGATCAGCATTGAGATTCTGTGTCAGTTTCATCCAACAGCTGGAAAGCCATGACTAATTTGGAAAGCATAATTGCACGTGACTATATTTAATTGCTTGATTTCCATGTTATTTTGACAAATGTGTTCAAATATAGTTCATGAACATGTGGCCCTCAAATGTAAAACAGCTATATCCAACTACAGTTTTACCAGAAAAGTATGAACAAGAGTTTCTGATTACTTTTCAACCATCAATATAGACCGTAATTCATAAAATATAGAGAAATCAGGAGCACAATTTGGTGGGATGCTAGAAAATAGAGGATTGGTCGCCAGAATAAAACAGAGCAAATTTTAATGATGCTGTAGTTTAATCAATGCAGGCAGCCCTAGATTTACAGTCAAGAATGGGACTAGCAAGGAAGTTGATAACCACATAAATTATGCTACAGTTGTTAAGTGAATCATGCAGTTGTTGCATTGCATGCAGTGAACCTGGCTTCCCCCATTGCTTTCCTTGTGAGAAGCCAGCTGGGAAAGTCACAAATAGTGATCACATGACTCCAGGACACTGCAACCGTCACAAATACATGCCAGTTGCCAAGTGCCTGAATTCTGATCATGTGACCATGGGGCTGCTGTGATGGTTATAAGTGCAAGGATTGGTCATAAGTCACTTTTTAAAATGCCATTGTAACACTGAACAATCACTATATAAGTAGTCATAAGTTGAAGACTACCTGTATCTACACTTTTTCTATTGTTGTTATTGTCATATGAACCACTGGAACTATGGAAGTATATTTAATAAGCAAAGAATAGAGTTACAATTGTCAACCTGTCACCTAGTTTCATATAGTGAAACAATATTTTATATACACCCTGCATCATTGATTGGGCCCCACTTATATCTCCAGAGTGTCCCCACCTCTGCAGCTGAAAGCTGAATACACATTTATATGCACTGGAAAAAAATAATTATACAACAACAGGAGACAGAAATGAATATTTGGGAAGGACTGAGAAAGAACTTGAATATTCACACAGCACAGTGAAGAAGGGGGGAACCTAAACCACCCACTTATTTTTTTTCCAAACTCCCAGCCATGAGGACTAGAGACTTGTCTAAGAAAAAACAACCTGGAATCTAGGTTTTATCAAGAAGCAAACACTTTGGAAAATGTTTCTGGCATGTAAGAAACTTTTGGCCAGACATTTTTCACTTTTGTTTTAAAGGAAATCTATGCTTAGGGAACTTACACCAATGTTGCTCTTAAAAGTCTAATTATGTATATATTTTATTTTAGCTATTTCCTCAGCACGGAAGAGTTGCCAAGGACTCGGCATTTATACAGGTATGATTAGTTTTATGCAAAGATAACTTTCTGATTATATTTGGGGGAAAAGGCTCTTGCCACTTTTACATTTAATGTTGCTGTCAGCTTCCCAGCCTTTATTTTGCGGATATTATTGTTTATCTGTCTTTGTCTTTGTGGCCTTTGTTTTTGTCTTTGTCTTCATTGCTGTTCTCCTCTTCCCTTTCTGTCCCTCTTGATATTTATTTACTTTGGAGAGGGGAGGAAACAAACATCCCAACACAAAATATTTTAAGCAGGGCCGAATGCATTTTAAAGATAGACAAAAGAGCAAGATAATAATAATAATAATAATAATAATAATAATAATAATAATAATAATAATAATAATAATAATAATAATAATACGCAACAATATTTGTAATACCATCAAACATCCACATCTGCCTATCCCAGGTCCTGGGTAAGGACTCGATAGGTAGACAAAATGCCAAATCCAGTCTGAACATCTGGCTGACTGTGCGATGATCCATAATAATAATAATAAAGTTGGAAGGGACCTTGGAAGTCATCTAGTCCAACCCCCTGCTCAGGCAGGAAACCCTATACCATTTCGGACAGGTGGCTGTCCAGTCTCTTCTTAAAAACTTGCGGTGTTGGAGCATTCACCACTTCTGGAGGCAGGTTGTTCCACTGGTTAATTGTTCTGTCAGGAAGTTTCTCCTTAGTTCTAGGTTGCTTCTCCCCTTGCTTAGTTTCCACCCGTTGCTTCTTGTCCTGCCTTCAAGCGCTTTGGAGAATGGCTTGACTCCCTCTTCTTTGTGGCAGCCCCTGAGATACTAGAACACTGCTATCATGTCCCCCCTCGTCCTTCCCATTTATCCACTATCTTTAGGATGACATCACCTCCCAAATGACTGGTGTCTGCAGCGCCATAGGCAGATGAGCTGTTGCCAATAACACAGTTCTTGTTTCACATGCTTCATTGTGCGGAAAAGGTTATGCTTGTCTGTCATCCCCTCAGAGGGCAGGTGCTGCAGAAGTCCTTTCTAAAAGGTCTGCATATTCCACCTGTAAACCATCCAGGGCTCCCTGGTGGATGCATCAGTCAGGATTCAGTGCTTAGATGTACACCAAGAAGGCAATTTCTAACAAAGCTCTTGGATTTCCCATTGTTTAAATCAGATTCTTGATGCAGAATGATATTCTTGTTGCAGGATCCAATCTGGGACATTTAGTCTTCTGAGCTTTTGGACTCCTGCTAAAGCCCCTCCTCAGGGAACTTCTCTCTCTAACTTCTCTTAGAGAGAAGCTCCCTTAGGATGGGCTGCAGCATGAGTCCAAAAACTCGGAAGACTAAACCTCTGGTCCCAGTGATTGATCCAGATTGGATCCTGCAACATTATCCTGCGACATGTATGTTTGCCTTCATTTGTGATAGTCTTGTTATTATCAGCCCAGATCAATCCACTGTAGGATGAAAGTCTTTTCACTGAATGTTTGGAACCGTCATCTAACACTCTGATCCAATGCAAGTTGGTTGATAGCCCTTTTTTTGACCTCACAATCAAGAGTCAACCTTTGTGCTTAAGGGAGGACTAGAATTTGGGTCTCCAAACTCCTAATCCAGCACATTATCCACTACACTCGTCTTTTCCATTCTTTGTAACTTTCGGATAGAAAGACTTCAAATTCCAGAATTTCTGAATTCTGTGAGTTGAAGTCCATATTTCTGAATGTTGCCAAGACTGAAAAACACTGCACTACACCAAACTGTTTTTTTCACCCCTTGATATGTAATTATATCGTTTGCCTTCAGTACCTGCCTGTTGTTACTTTTAGACTTAGCTTTTAATCGTAATCCCATTCCTTATAAAAAACAAACCCAATTTGTTCTGTTTAGGCCTAAACCTTTTAAAAGCCTCTATCTCCTCAGTGTTCTAGGTCAGTTCCTAGGTTGGTGGCTGGCTGGGGAATTTGGAGGAGTTGAAGTCTACACATCTTAAAATTGACAAGATTGAAAAATACCGTTGTAGGTCATTGCAGCTGATTTGTTCCCATTTTATCTAGCCAGTTTGGTCTAGTAGTTAAGGCATCAGACTAGAAACCAGAAGACTGTGAGTTCTAATTCCACTTTAGGCAGGAAAGGCAGCTGGGTGACTTTAGGCCGATCACCTGGAGATGGTGAGTTCTAGTCCCACCTTAGTCATGAAAGCCAGCTGGGTGACTTTGGGCCAGTCCCTTTATCTCAGCCCAATCTACTTCACAAGGTTGTTATTGTGGGGAAAATTGGAGGAGAAAGGAGCATTAGGTATGTTCACTGCCTTGAGTTACTGATAAAGTAATAAAGGCAGAATAAAAATAGAATGAATGAATGAATCTAGCCATGATGAATACATAGAAACTGCCTTGCATTTTGAGAGATTATTCATCTACCTGCCCTCCTATCTAGCTTAGTCTCCCTCACCCTTTGAAATATATGGGGCTGTAACTTCCCAGAATTCCCAGTCTATGTAGGTTGCAACTCATCTGGATGGAATCAGAGTGGGGAAGAGTGACTTTGAGGCAGAGATCACTTTGGGGTCTAGATCAAACATTAATAAATACTCCAGCTTGTTTTGCTTTTTGACAATTAAGTCTCTTTTTGTTTTTCATTGTTTATTACAGTGCCAGCACTAAGGGGAACTTCAACCGGCAATGTCTCTCTTGTGATTTGATTAACAACTGCACTTACTTCCGTGCAACTTTCAGCCACAACATGGCATATTTCTTGTTGACCTGTGAAGGTAGGCTTTACAAATAATCACCAAGTTATTTCAGGCCTTCCGTAAAAAAGATTGATGCCACACAAAGAGCAGGTTCATCCAGAAGGTGTTGGGAAAGAAATGGAATGCAAATGAATACAGAGTATTTTAAGAGCATTTATCAGATACTCAATTTAGAACCATTTACCACTTACCAGATGTCCTCAGCTTAGAACCATTAGTGATAATTCAAAATGACAACAGCACTGAAAAAAGTCATTTAATTTATTATTTATTCTGCCTTTGTTATTCTGCCTTTGTTATTTTTACAAATAAGGTGGCGAACATATTCAACATGCCTTTCTCCTCCTGTTTTCCCCACAACAGTCCTATGAGGTGGGTTGGTCCAAGGTCACTCATCTGGCTTTCATGGCTAAGGCAGGACACTTACAGCTTTTTGTTTTGTTTGTACTATATTTTTGAAAAGAAATCAAGAATGCTGTGATGACACCCATCAAAAATGGCCAGGACTTCAATTGCATCTTGAGGTTTTTGACCCAGCTCCCTGCAGCTACCCCTGAACTACAAAGCTATGGAAGTTGGTGTGTGTGTGTGTGTGTGTGTGTGTGTGCCAATACTTTCAAAGCTCATAAAACATCATTCAGGACCTTAAAGAAAAGAAATCTGTGATCACCAGCAAATGCCAGAAACATTTGTCTCTGTTATTGACTCAGAGAATATTACTGGCAACCCACAGCTTTTAATTACAGTCAGGGATTGAAAAGTGCTCCTGCCGTCTTTGTTTATTAGTATGATAATACGGCCTTGGTATGTGAGATTTCAATACATTACAGTGATCCATAATTCATGGCCTAGCAAATAAAGAGATCCCGGAAGCCATATGCTGGGGTGAGAGGGGAGGAGGGCCGCTGGGAGGGAAAATCTGCCTCTGCCAATTAGCCCCTTTGTAGCATCCAGAGGCTTTGTGTGATCTCCCTATCTCCAGCTGATCTTTTAAATCATTCATCATTGCTGGAAAGGTACCATGATAGAGACTGTGTAGACCATTTTCATTCTTGGTTGTGTAGGAAAAGATTTGCTTCTCTGAAGTTTTCTGAAGATATTTAAAAAAGGAAAAACACATTTACTTTCTTTTCACCTTTTTAAAAAACCTTTCTCACATTTTTATGATTCTTGGTAGTTATCCCAGAATACTGATTGCTCATTATCATGATTTCTGTCAGCTTTATTTTACTTTATTTTACTTTTATTATTTTTTTAAAATTTGTATGCTGCCCATCTCACCATCAGGTGACTCTGTTATTAACTTTTATTTTTTTTAAAAAAAAACATAGGCAGGCATCACACAGTGTTTTGGAAAGGCAAAACAAGATTTTCCAAAAACATATGGCACTTTTAATTATTTCCTTTGGCCCCAGATGTATTAAGATTTTGTTAGTTTCATCATGAATAGCTGGAAAATAGCATTTCTTTCAAACAGGATTGTTGCAATGTGATCATTATGTAACTAAGGGAAAAGTAGTAGGGAAAGAAAGTCTTAGCTAATAAAATAATTTTAATACTATTTCTAACTATTAATCAGTCTTTTAGTTGATGAAACAAATTAAATCTATCTTTTTTTTTCAATTCCCTGAGCAACTGCATGCCTCAATAGCAAAACCTGTCATTTTGTGTGTTCTCATAGATTTTCTTTTCTGCCAACATCAAAGGAAATATCAATGCGGGTACATTTGAACCTATATTAAAATATGGGATCTGGGAAGAAAGTCAATCATTGAATCATGGAGAGAGAGAAAATATTATTGATTGCAAAGTTACATTCATCTGGAAGTAACATACATGTGTACACACAAAAGCATTGTGTATTCCCAATGTTAAAAGGTGTTGAATTTGACTTTTGCTCGGGAAACCATAAATACATGAATGTTTGCAAGGAAAATGTTTTGCACTGTAGTGGAACAATATTTCAGAAGGGCTGTGTTCAAACCAGATGAATTAATTTAATTAATTTAAAGCTTCCTTAATGAGTTTTTTTCTGCCTTTCCCTCAGTTTAACATAATGGACTGTGCAAAAGCAGAAAACAGGTTATGGGATGAAAACAGCTGTATTAATGTGCAATAAATAAAGAAAATGCAGTCTATGGATCCCAGGGGAACATGCAAATGCCTTTAGAAAGATTGATATAGAATAACCCATAACAGTTTACTCAGATTTTTTCTGAAATAACACCTATTTTTAATCATGTAACACTCCTCTGCCAACTTAGGAAGAAAACAAGTTGGTGCTATTTGGAAAACATTTATTTTTCCAAAGTTTCCTCCCTCCCCTTCCTTCTTTCTATCTCTTGTTAGAAGACTCCAAAATTCCTTTTATTTCTCAGCAACTTTGATGGAGCAAAATGACATTACCCATTTATCTTAACTGAAATCTGGATACCCGGATTCTATATTCTATATTCTGGATATCCAGAATCTTTATTGCTCATCTGTACTTGTCAAAATAAAGATGGTGGCTTTTGAAATACTCTGAGATTAAGGCACTTTGATTTTAGGAAGCTGCCAGAGGTAACTGCAGGAAGGGATTAAAAAAAAAGTCCACAGCCACCACAACTGCACCATCAAGCTCAAATCATTTTTATATACGTGCTCCAATGAATTTAAAAAGAGGTGGTACAGGTAGTTCTTTACTTATGGCCACGATTGGGACCAGAATTTCCATTCCTAAGGAAGGTGGTTGTTAACTGAGTTGTGCCTGTCTTAATGACCTTTTGCCCTAGCTGTTAAGTGAATCACACTGTCGTTAAGTGAATTTGGCTTCCCCCATTAATTCTCTTTGTCGGAAGCTGGCTGGGAAGGTTGCAAATGGCAATCATATGATCCCAGGACACTGCGGCCATTGCAAATACATGCAAGTGTTTCAAGGTTGTTGTTGTTGTTAATTGCGAAGTCGTGTCCGACCCATCGCAACCTCATGGACAACATTCCTCCAGGTCTTCCTGTCCTCTACCATCTTCTGAAGTCCATTTAAGTTCACACCTACTGCTTCAGTGACTCCATCCAGCCATCTCATTCTCTGTCGTCCCCTTCTTCTATTGCCCTCAATCTTTCCCAGCATTAGGCCCTTCTCCAGTGAGTCCTTCTTCTCATTAGGTGGCCAAAGTATTTGAGTTTCAACTTCAGGATCTGGCCTTCTAAAGAGCAGTCGGGGTTGATCTCTTCTAGGACTGACCAGTTTGAACGCCTTGCAGTCCAAGGGACTCGCAGGAGTCTTCTCCAGCACCATAGTTCAAAGGCCTCAATTCTTTGGCGCTCAGCCTTTCTTATGGTTCAACTTTCACAGCCATACATTGCAACTGGGAAAACCATGGCCTGGACTATACGCACTTTTGTTGGCAGGGTGATATCTCTGCTTTTTAGTATGCTGTCTAGATTTGCCATAGCTTTCCTCCTCAGGAGCAAGCGTCTTTTAATTTCTTGGCTGCAGTCCTCATCTGAGGTGATCTTTGAGCCCAGAAAAATAAAATCTGTCACTACCTCCATTTCTTCCCCATCTATTTGCCAGGAATTGAGAGGGCCGGATGCCATGATTTTGGTTTTCTTAATGTTGAGTTTCAAGCCAACTTTTGCACTCTCCTTCTTCACCCGCATCAAGAGGCTCTTTAGTTCCTGCTGTGTCTATATTGAGCTGCCTTGCTTTGCATTATTCATTGTTTTTAATTAAAGAACATTAAAAAATAAAACAGAGAAGGCAAAGCAACATGGCATGGGCAAGTAACATGTTGAGCTTTAGATCCAAATAAGTGTTCTTATACAGCTGGCCACACAATTACACGTAGTCTCAACTATAATTCTAGCTGCCATTATAATTCATGATGGGAGCTTGCCTATGGTCATAATGGCAGTCATAAAAAAAATTCACGGCAGTTGTTAAGCCAACACTGTGGTTGTAAAGCAAACACCATGGTCTTTAAGGGAACCAGTAGTTTGCTAGGAATGCCATTTTACTGAAGTAAATGCCAATTTTTAGCATTTTAGCAAACTCTTCATGAAATGTGGTCACTTGACTATGGGTCACTACAAGCAACTATAAATACATTCTGAGTGCTGAATCTCAAGGTTTGATCACCTGACCACAGGGGACAATTGTCTGGGTTATAAATAATCCCCTGGCAAATCCTTCATAATTTCGAATGGCCGCAAAGTGACCAGTCGTAAGTGGATGACTTATCTGTCGATAATTCAGAACTATACATTCCATTCCTTTGACCACAAAGATTTCTTCCTTATTTTCTTTTCATGTACTACTTTAGGAGTATATTTATTGATTGCAATCCTTGAGGTTGGAAGGCACATTTGGAATTTTCAAACATCTAGGTGCCCTGGGTGACTTTAGCTGACCCATTGACCAGATGGCTGTAATACGTACAGGGCCATCTGAATTGCTTCAAACATAACTGTCCTGTTTTGGTTTCGGAATAACTTTATTTTTTTGAAGCAGGGTTTTGGTGTCTAGGAGATTGTATTTTTTAAAAAAGAAGAACAACATTACTGTAGACAAAGCTGGCAGGAAGCAATGTTTAAAGATCAATTAATATTCTGCTAGACATGCTTGCATTCTTAGAGCTTTACTTTCTCCTTCACACAATGCATTAACTGAGCAGTATAATCCTTTGTGTCATATACATAGTATGACATTAAAATAATCTAAAACAAATTCTTTTAATTGTGTTTGCATAATTAAAATATTGACAAATTAGAGAAGATGAAGCTAGCCGGTGCTCCGCTGGGAGAGTCTGTCTATCTTCCATGTTTTTGGTTGGGGACTGTTAATTATCTTTGGGCAACTGGTTGCTTAGATCAGCTTTCCATGTAATAGGACAGGGATTTAACATCTAGCCCCGAATATCACTTTAGATGCATTTTCTTAAATCTAAATGCATTTTTATTTCTTTTTTTGAAGGTCCACGAATTCCAATGGTAACTGTCCACAGAACATCCGATACAGAAAGTAAGTATTTGTAGGGGGCTTTTGAGATTGGGAGATCTTCGAAAGGGAAGACAACATACCCAGCAGAGAACAAAAACAGAGAGTTGTCTCACGTTCCAATGAGTAAAAAGCTAAAGAATATTTGTGGGTATTAGTTTTATTATGTGAGATAAACAGAGAAATTGGAGCGATAGAATCACACAGCTGGTCCTTCCCTTGGGTAAAGAGACATGCCATGTATCATAGTTAATGCCATGTCATAGTTAATGGTTGAAAGCCAGCAACCTAGATGCATCTAAGAATATGAAAATGGGATGGGTCCAGGCTACCCAAGGGACCATCCCATCCCATTTGCTCCTGCAGGAGGGGCATGCTGCAGAACCTGTCAATCAAGGAATTCCAGTTGGCGGGGTCCAGGAAAGGCCTTTTTTGCTGTGGCTCCTGCCCCCTGGAACATCATATCTCTTGAGGCAGGAGTGGGCAATTAATTTTCCCAAGGGGCCACATGAGGAACTGGGACTGTTCTGAACCAATAGCTCCTGGCTGCACTCTGTTCATTCATCTGCAAGGCCACATTTTGACCAAAGCAGCAGTGGATGGCCAAGCCTGGATCCCCTTGTGCAATGACCACCACTGATACTTCCTCAGGCTGCTCCAGATGAGGAGTGGGTGCTGCACAGGAACAGAAAAGTGTTTCCTCTCCCCACCCTTCTGCGGCCGCCAGCTGACTGAAGGAGTGCACAGTGACTGTGAAAAACCATGACTCTGCTTCTTCTCCCATCCCCTTCACTGCACTTATTTATATTTTCTTTTATAACTACCAATTGACCTCCTCCTGTGAAGCCCACAGGGACAGCCAAAGAATGAAATAAAATGCCCAAGTCTGCTTTGAGGTGAGATCTGCCCTCAGCCTTTTGGCCTTCATCAAAATCTAGCCCTGCCAATGGGCCTGGGACCATAATGAAGGTGGTTGAAAGTGGTTAGTAGACTTAGGAAGGAGATCCGATCTCCACCCTGTCACATTCTGCTTTTTAACTTATTTAATATCTGTTTATTTTGATATCTAATGTTTTAACACTGTACTTGCTTTTACAATTGAGATGGGCAGCATATAAATTTAATAAATAAAAAAATAAAATTTTCAAGGACAAAAGTTTGGGGTTTGGAATAATGCTGAAGCAAGGTGGATAGGTAAGTGGCCTGAGTATTTTATCACCTTGCCTGTAAATACTCTCGCTTGATCACTGTTCCTGCTTTTTAAAAAATATATAAAGAGGGTGAAGAAGGAATCCCATTTTTTCCACACAGCACCAGATTTGGGGGGGGGGGACAAGGATGGGAAATATGTAGGCTGAAAAAATACAAGTCTGTGTTGGGTTGTGTTTTACATTTCTCTAATGTCTAATTTTGCAATAAAAGATTCAAAGCGAGTAGATATTCAAAATCAGGAGTATACTGGAGACCACATATTTGGCAAAAAAAGAGGGTCTATTGGCCTGATCCAGTTCATAAAATAAATACCAAAATCAATAAATGCCTGCATGCATGCAGGCAGACAGGCAATGCTGGAAAGCAGAGGAGCTGAGGGTAGAGAAGGGCAAAAGAGGCACCTTGGAAAAGATAGAGAATGAATAAAAGGTTATCTGTAGATAGGAAGCAGTTTTCCCTCTGGTCTTGTGCATGTGATGAAGGACGCAGTGCTCTCATTATGCAGGTCTCTCTCGCTGTAATGGATAGAAGGAACTATTGTAAGCATCCCTTATTCACAAAATAATTCTATTTCACAATATGAGAGTCTTCTACAATAATCTGATAACTATGAATCCCACCCAATATTACCATCTGCTTATATTTAATTAAGGACTGGTTGTCTGAACAGCGCAGGCAAGGATTCCCAGCGGGTTAACAGTTTTGGGAGATGCATCCAGAAATCTTTAAATCTGTCAGGCTGCTCTTATTTCGCCTGTCCTTGCTTTCTGCGAATGCAATTATGGGAGCAAACAGAATGGCTGCTCTTGAGTCCCAGACGGGCCAGCCTCCTTGTGCTGATAAGGCTAATTGAGCAAGTGATAATTAAATGAGGATTCCAGCATGCAATCAGACTTAATTGTTTGATGCTTTGACATTTTCATAGGGGTTATGATTTCAACAAAAATGAGAAGGAAATTTTCAGGAAGAACTTTTAGTATGGGACCCTTATATCTACCAGCTGAAATATCCACAGAGAGAGAAAAATCAGTATTTGGAATAGGGTGGTTTTGCAATGAAGCTTCACTAGAGACAGACTTGTGGGCTGAGGATGTGGTAGAAGAGTATTGGGAGGAAAATAATCAATATTTCCCTGCCTTATTTTTATTTTTTATTTGTATCCCATCTTTATCGTTTTTACAAATAGCTCAAGGCAGTGAACATATCCAACATATCTTTCTCCTCCTATTTTCCTCATAACACCAACTATGAGGTGGGTTGGGCTGAGAGAGAGTGACTGGTTCAAAATCCCCCCCCCCCAATAGCTTTCGTAGCTAAGGTGGGACTTGAACTCGTGCTTTCTCGCTTTCTGGCTGATGTTCATAACTGGCTTATAAGGAAGCTGATGCATAAACAAATTTCCCCCAAATGCTCTATTAGTTCTCAAACATGTCTTCCAATATGAAAAAATATATAGAGTCCTTGGTGCTCTCTGAGTTTGGTTGTTTGCTTGCAGATGTTTCATTACCCAACTAGGTAGCATTAGTGGTGCAAGTACAGATAGCAAACCCCGCACTCTTTCATGCTGATGTTGTTACCTAGTTCAGTAATTAATCAATGACCAAGAAATCCAATTTATTACACTCTTCTAGACGGGAGCTCCAACATCCTGATTCAAGGAATGTCCAAGGAAGCAAATCAGTTTTCATTCTCGTTCTAAAGACCTGCAGGACTTGGGCCAATTATATGTCTAGGGTAGAACATTCTAGAGAACAGGTGCCATCATAGAAAAGGCATGACTCCCAGGTCCCATAAAATTATATAGATAGTCCTTGACTGACAACCTTTTATTTTGTGACCATTAAAGTTACAACAATTCTGAAAAAAGTGACTAGTTTCCTAACTTACAACTCTTGCAGCATCTCCATGGTCATGTGATCAAAATTCAGGCACTTGACAATAATTGTTGCACTGTCCCAGTGTCATGGGATTGCCATTTGCAACCTTCCAAATGGTTTCCAACAAGCAAAGTCAGTGGCGGAAGGGCAGATTTGTTTAACGAAAGCATGAACCACTTAAAAACTGCAGTGATTCACTTAATCACTGTGACAAAAAGTGTAAAATGGGGCACAATTAACAGCTGTCTTGATAAATAATGGAAATCTTCGGCTCAAGAAGCTCCCTAAGAAGGCTGCAAATGACAATCCCAGGACCCTGGGACACTTGCAAACGTTATAAATACACACCAGTTGCCAAGCACCCAAAGTTTGATCACCTGACTGTGGGGATGCTGAAATGGTCATGAGTATGAAAACTGGTCATATATCACTTTTTTCGGTGCTGTTGTAACTTTGAATGTAGTAGAAAATGTAATAGTAGAACCTGCCTTTTCAAAAATGAACAGCTAGCTTCAAATCTTCCATAATGGAAACACTGGGCTTTCTTTCTTTCTTTCTTTCTTTCTTTCTTTCTTTCTTTCTTTCTTTCTTTCTTTCTTTCTTTCTTTCATAGAAATAGTGATGCTTTCAGTCAAGGTATAATTGGTTAATTCCTCATCTGATAGGAGATGCTTTCCTATTTCTTGTTCCAGAACTTTTTGATTTAGAAGTAAATGTCAGAGTGCAGAAGACAGTCGCAGAACGACAGATGCCCAGGCTGGAATATCTGGATATCAAGATTCAGGATTACAGTAAGTTACTCTGATTATTTTCGCTGTTGAATTTAAGGGTTTATAATCTCATCTTTAATTTAGAAAAACTTATATTCTAGTGGGTCAGGTTTTAAAAAAAAAAAAAGATAAAAACACAATGTCACTAAAAAAAGCACCAAAGTAGAAATTGAAATCAGCAAGATGGGTAGCAGCCCCCAGAACAAAAGCAGAATGTATCCATAGCTATAACATAAGAGCAAATCTAGCAACCCAATATTTATTTGCTTGTTTATTTATATTCTGCCATTATTATTTTTGTAAATCTCAAGGGCAGGTCTAAAATTCACAGTCTCCAGGTGATTGGCCCAAAGTCATCCAGCCAGCTGTCATGTCTAAGGTGGGACTAGAACTCCCAGTTTCTAGCCTGGTGCCTTAACTACTAGACTAAACTGGCTCTCATAAGACTTTGGCGTGTTTTGATTCCGTGCAATGTATTAATCAGCATCCCGGGTTTAATATTTTTATTACTTGCCAAGAATGTCCTCAGAGAGCTTAAAAAAGTTGAGAATGGTCAAACAATTTGTCTCACCAGCCGCCCCCCCTTTTTTGAGTTGGTACCATGTGAAAATGAATGGGGTGTCATACACACACAGTTGTGGCCACCCACTTCAATTTTTTTAGCTCTCCTGCAAGACACTCTTGTTATTGTGCTGCTTCCATAATGGGCAAATATTTGCCATCCTGTTGCCCATCTGTAAACCATCTACCTTGCCCTTCTTTGTTTCTATCTTCCTATTCCATTGATAGAGACATTTTTCATTAGTTAAGAAATGGAGATAGTTAAGAAATGTCTGCAGAACTAAAAACTCTTGTCAAAATAATGAAAATGGCCATGGGCCATGATCTCACAAGATCCTCCCCTTTTTTACACACATGTGACATCACAGAACAATTACAGAAGTACCAGACCTTGAATATTCTACTCTATTCTACTCTACTCTATTCTATTCCGTCCTCTTCTGTTCCGTTCCATTCCATTCCATTCTATTCTATTCCGTCTTCTTCTGTTCTATTCTATTCTATTCTATTCTATTCTATTCTATTCTATTCTATTCTATTCTACCAAAGGAACCATCCAGTTATTAATGTGGTAGAAGAAACATCCGTGCTTGAAAACTGATCTACCGCTGCACGACTGCAATTCCGATTTATATTTTGTTTTTTCAGATAAGATTCTGACAAATCCACTAAAAATCACATTAGAATAAATTAGAATAGGTCGACATGAGTTCAGAGAAATCTGTTTCCTATTCAAAACTCTTGCAATTATTGATTTATGACCAGTCACTCAATGACTGTTAGAAGTTATGAAGGTCTCCCCAAAAGGGACTTGCAACTCAGTTTTAAAACTCTAGAGTTGCTAGCTCTTGTGGTCACATGACCCTATTTTAGGTGCTCAGTAACGGGCCTGAATTTAGAGACGTTTGTAACACCCCATAATCACAGGAAGATAGTTTATTAAGTTTTTGCTGGAAACTGGCAAAAAAATCATCCCTTAGCGAACAATGGGTTTGCTTAATGACTACAGTGTTTACTTAATGACAGCAGTGTTTGCTTAACAATGGCATTTGCATTACAATCACTACATTGCTACAGAAAAGGTTGTAAAAGTGGGTCCGATCATGTGGTGACCCATTATACAACTGGCACAGCTTATGACCATATTTGCTAGCCCTAATTATGGTCACAACCTGAGGACTACCTGCATTTCATGTACTCTACACTGTCTTAATCTTCCCCCAGTTGAAGCATAATTTTAGTTTTATGATTACATTTAATATGCACCGTTACTTCTTCTGTAAAAGAATGTGAGGCATCAATCGAGGTTGAATCAATTCATTTTTCCATTGAGGCTTAAGATATTTGTCTGCTGGCAAAACTTGCTCTCCCACAGTTGCTGTTAGCCAAGGAAGAAAATTTTACTCCCACAGTGAAAATGCAGCTGTGATGAAGGGGAAGGGGTGAGCAATTCTGGAACTGCAATAAATAGAAAAGCAGCGTCTCCTCTTTCTTCCATCCCAGAGGCCTTCTCCGTAAACTTAATTCTATTCCATGCCTTCTCATCATTCCAGTTCCAATAACATTGTGATTGAATCATAATTCAATTCAGATCAATTCAATCACATTGGGATTGAATCCATAATTGTGATTTTTATCGAATAACAGAGTAACAACGATGGAAGGGAGCTTGGAGATCTTCTAGCCCAACCCCCTGCTCAAGCAGGAGGCCCTATAGCATTCTGGACAAATGGCTGTCCAGTCTCTTTTTGAAAGCCTCCAGTGATGGAGCACCCACAACTTCTAGAGGCAAGTCGTTCCACTGGTTAATTGCTCTCACTTTCAAGAAATTTCTGATTAATTCTAGGTTGCTTCTTTCTTTGATGAGTTTTCATCCATTGCTTCTTGTCCTGTCTTCTGGTGCTTTGGTGAATAGGTTGACCCCCTCTTCTTTGTGGCAGCCTCTTAGATGTTGAAACCCTATTATCTTGTCACCCCTAGTCCTTCTTTTCACTAGACTAGACATACCCAGTTCCTACAACCATTCTTCGTATGTTTTAGCATCCAGCCTCCTAATCATCTTTGTTGCTCTTTTCAGCAGTCTTTCCAGAGTCTCAACATCTTTTTAATATTGTGGTGACCAAAACGGGATGCGGTATTACAGGTGTGGTCTTACTAAGTCTTTGTAAAGCAGTACTGATACTTTACATGATCTTGATTCTGTTCCTCTGCTAATGCAGCCTAGGATTGCATTGACTTTTTTGGCTGCTGCTGCATGCTGCTGGCTCATATTTAAGTGATTGTCCACTAGGACTCCAAGAATTGTTCACAAGAACTCCAAAAAACAAGATTCATTGGATAAAATTCAACACACATAACAGGTATCATAATTTAACTCTTCACCTTTAGTATTTGCAAATGGGAAAGCCCACAAATATGAAGTGATATAGTGGACAATTCCTTCCTTGTGATCCTAAAAGATTTCCAAGAGTAGCCTTAATGCTTAATTCTCTATATTCTGTCTTCCCATCTTCAATAGGATGGCATATAAACCCAATGGATCTCCATGTGAATCATAGCTACAAACCCACTCTCTTTTACAAGTCTCATACAATAATAAATTAAACCAAATGAAATAAAAGGCATACCACTAAACCTCATTTGGCTCTTTATTGCCCTTCAGATACCAGTAATTTAAAATTTAATTGCTATCCCTTTGGTAAATTGACCTGGCAGTTCATGTTTTAAAAACCAAATAAAAGTAGGGATAAGGCTTGGGAGCAACCTATTTATCCTTGTGCCAATATGCATTTAAGAAAAAGTGAAGCACACTTAGCTGTTACTTTAGGGTACATGTTTCCATCAAGGGAACTATTTTCTCTTCTTAATTCATCCAATTATATCTCCCCTTTTCTTTATGTGTGTCATTTCAAGGGGCAAAGAGGTGGCAATCCGGGCCCTGGAGTTTAAAATGCCTTAAAGAAAGCCCAGGCTTAAATCCCTTGTGGAGGAAAAAAAGAACAATTTTATTCCATTCTACAGAAGAGGATTTGCATTTTGCTTTGAGTTTCTCCTCCCTTTGCTCTCCTTGCAAAGATTGTTTGATAGGGCTGTCATCCTCCACCTGCTGAGAGGGGAAAAACACATATCAGCACACCCTAATTGCATGTTTGATATATGACCAAGCGTCTGGGAGAACCATGGTGTTAGATGTGTGGCCTTTTGTGTAGCAGTGCCAATTTTCTTTCCAAAAGAATCTGTTCTGCTGGGTTGTTATTTGCTGAGCTATTCTCTGTAATGGCATTTTGCTCCCACCAAAAAGTACCGGAGTGTACTTAAAAAAAAATAAGAAAGAAAGAAAAGGTTGTTCATTGTAATGACATCCTTCCTGTGCTTAAATGCTTCTCTCCTCCTTTCTTCTCTTTTCTTCTGTTTGCAGAATTGCCACTGCAAATTTTAAAGCCTGCCGTTTTCATGGAAAACACGCACTATCCTTTGCTCCTCGTTGTGTGAGTAATGTTAACAATGGTATCATTTCCCAGTTATAGCCAGCAATGCCAGTCAAGTTAAGAAAAGGGATATTTCAGAAGGGTGAGGATTTGGCTTTCTTAGGAAAACCAAAAGAGGTTGGGAACTTAGCAGATATGGAGGTGGCTCCTAGAAACTTATTTTTATTTATATCCTGCCTTTATTATTTTCTAAAATAAATAACTTAAGTAGATGAACATGGCTTATAATCCTGCCTCTTCCTCTTTTTCTGCACAATAACCCTGCAAGCTAGGTTGGGCTGAGAGAGAGGGGGAGATTAACCTAAAATAACTCAGCTGGCTGTCATGGCTAAGGCACAACTAGAACTCCGGGTTTCCTGGTGATTCAAGTCACCCAGCTGGTTTTCATTCCCAAGACGGAACTAGAACTCACAACCTCTTGGTTTCTAGCCCGGGGCCTTCCCCAGTAGACCAAACAGAGGTTGCTGTTTGTAAAAGATATGTTTTAAGCCAAGGCAAAAGCAAGGATGCCCCATATCAGAATTCTTGGGGTTGAGAGTGTTATGTTTCTAATGTTGTTTGTTTACTTAGCAGGATATGTTAAGATACATGCATGTTTGGACATAGTTAACGTACATTAATGTTGGTGATACTAGCCAGGGAACCTGGACGGGAAAGCGAGGCTTTCCTGGGGTCTGATGCAAGATTTGTCCCTCAGGCTAGACTAGTGATGGCGAACCTTTAAGAGACCAAGTGTCCAAAAACCGCCTCGCCCCTGCCCCGCCCAACCTCTCCTGCCCACAAGGCCACCCACTACCTCCACAGCCTGCCACAGCAGATCGCCCAGGCAGCCCAGCAGCGTCATGGCGGCCACACCCTCTGTCCAGACCCCGCAGCAGCATCTGTACGCAATGAGGCGCGAGGGCAGAGTCTTGTCCTTGCTGCCCACAGTGCCCACAGAGAGGGCACTGAGTTCCGCCTCTGGCACCCGTACCATAGGTTTGCCACCACTGGGCTAGACCATTGTGTCTTCTCTCCTCTCTAAAGACCCTTGGGATTTCTATGTGAACTCTTTTTCTTTCTTTGCTTATAGCTGAACCAAATATGGTCTGTATAGATTGTAAACCATCAGGGTTTCTGGGAGGGATTGGTGGATAAAAAAAATCAAGATGGTGCCTGCCATCACACAGTCAAAGGCCTACAAGTAGTCCTCAACTTACAAAGCACATAACAATTGTTTGAAGTTCCAGCGGACCTAGCGGATCATACTTATAGCCATTTGCAGTTTCCCACAGTCATATGACTGTTTTACAATGCTGAAAGCTGGCATTTACTTCCAGTTTTTTGGTGAAATCATGCTTACTGTAAACTGTTGGTTTGCTTAACAACTACAGTGTTTGCTTAATGACTGCCACAAAAATAGTCATAAAATCATATCGGTCACTTTATGATTGTCATAATGTACGACCACTGAAGTTATTGTGCAAGTATTTGACAATGCAAAAAGCTTAAAGCAATTTTGGAATACAAATCAGATATCAACAATGTCTGCTATGATGATGGCTTAATTACAAGTCCCCCAGTGCAATTGAAAAGAAGAATTGCAAGTTAATCTACAGCCCTCAAGAGAAAAGCTGGGGATTTTTTCTTTAATGGAAATTAACAAGGTTGAGAATCTCTTGAGGAAAAAAAAGACACTTATATTTATCTAATAGACATTCCAAAAAAGAAAAGATTTTATTCTATGAGGAAATACCAAAGGGAGTGCTTTAAGCTTAATAAATTAACTGAGGTTAGGATGAATGTTTATTGTTCTGACATATGTAATTGAAAAAAAAAGTTTTAATACTTGGTTCTGTGCTTATAAAGTGGGTTTGAAAATGAAAAAGTTTCTTTTTTCTTTTTTTCTGGCATATAATGTTGGTGTAATTCTTAAAGTTTGTAAAAGATTAGTGTAAATGAATTTGAAGGAGTCTATGTTAAAAGAAAGCTTGAAAAAGATGAATTAAAACGATTTAGGGCCCTAATAAGTAAGCATGTAAATAAGGAGTAGCGCTTTGATGCCCTGGTGACATCTTGACTTTTTTTTAATCCCATTACCCGGTTAGATGCCCTTGTGACCTATGCTTGCTAATTTTAAAAGATAAATAATAAATAAAATAGGTTTGTTGCATTTAGTTTTGACACATAAGATAAGGAGTTCATTATAACATAGTCAATTAAGTTCACTATTTAAACTTCTGGATTAGCAACAGATCCTATTGTAACCTAAGTTAATAATCTCTCTTGGCAAATTATTGTGGCTCTTGTATATATAATCTCCTGGTGAGTTGCCTAGCAATTCCTGGAAAAATTTTGATGGACAGGCAGATTTGAAAACAAAAACCCACCATCCTCACTTTATTTTATTTTATTTTATCTTATTTTATTATTTTATTTTATTTTTTTGTAAGCAAAGAGGGAAACAGCCATATTGCTAGAATATGTTGGGTGCTAAAAGAAGGAGACCTGTAACATCTCTGCTATGTGAGCTGCTTCCAGGTCCAATTCAGGGTGTTGGTTGAGATCTTTAAAGCCTTACGTGATATGGGCCAGGCTACCTGTGAAACGGCTTTGTCTCATTACATCGGCTAGTCAAGAGGGAAGATATGTTGCCAACCCCGTCAAATAAAAAAATCTGACTGGCAGGTTCCAGGAAGAGAGCCTTCTCTGCCAGTGGCCCCTGCCCTATAGAAGAGTCTCCCTTTGGAGTTGGGGGGAGAGTTCCCCTCTCCTGGCCTTCCAGGTAGAAGTCAAAACACAAGCTCTGCATGTTCTGTGGGGAGCTCAAAGGAGCACGCAGCCGTGGGGCTGGTTGGTGCCCCTCTCAATTGAGGAAGATGGTCCCTGGGCAGCATACAATAAAATATCAGAATATAAAAACAATATATAAAAATTAAAATGCTGGAATTAAAATTTCAGAGTTAGTTTTTTTTTTAGAGGGAGGCCAGAATAATTAAGCCCTGTTAAAAATGAATTGAAACGGTGAAGGGAGGGCCTCTCAGGGCACCAACCAACCCCATGGTTTCATGCTCCTTTGGGCTCCCCACAGGAGGTGGCAGAGCCAATGTTTGTGACTTCTTTCCAGAAGGCCGCGAGAGTGGAACCCCACCTCACCTTTGCAGTTCCGAAATGCAATCAATCAATAAATAAATAAATTTTAGAAATGTCAAAATGTGTGCCAGTCTAAAGGGAGAACAAAAGGTCTTTCGTGAACCCTCCCACTTACTTCACTTCAAATGTATCTCCTGGGAAAATGTGCTTCGTTATGCAAATGGCAGAGAAGATTGGTGCTCATCAAGCTATCAACAACACTTGATTAGAACTGCCTCAGAATGAGAAAGCAAGGCTTTCAGTGGGCCCTGAATAAATGCAAATCAACTCAATCTCCCCCCCTCTCTCTCTCTCACACTCACACACACACACACCACAAATGCATATGCAGTCTTGTATGATCTCCAACTGGGCTGGAGATGTTTTTTTAAACCACCATAGAGCTATCAAAAAGAGTGAGGAAAAGTAACATGTTGGGCTTTTCTTTTTCTTTTTGCAAATACAATGAAACTTGCCCCATTTTACAAACTTTCTTGCCACAGTTGTTAAGTGAATCTTGCTTCCCCATTGACTTTCTTTGTCAGGTCACAAAAGGTGATCACATGACCCCTTGAGATGCTGTGACTGTCATCTCAGTTACTAAGTGTCCGAATTTTGATCATGTGACCACGAGGAAGTTGCAATGGCCATGTGAAAAATGGTCATAAGTCATTTTTTCAGTGCCATTGTAATTTCAAATGGTCACTAAACAAGTGGTTGTAAGTTGAGGACTACTTGTACAGCATGGTTCCTGTTAAATATTCAGTTTGATGCGACATTGAAGAGGCAGTAGGTGAAATCTAACTCTCTTTATTTCAAAGGCAAAACCAAAACTAACAAGCACATGCTCCACCCATACTTATACACTCAGCCTAAAGGCGGCAGCCAATAAAAACACAGTATTCTTCCATTTAAATGCATAATAATCAATCTGCAGACAGAAAGTCTGGCTTGTTGGCCAGCTAACTGTTTCTTCACAGTTCTCAGCAACTTAATTCTCAGACTTTACTCAATACATTATAGTTCCCACAAATTCTCTTCCTAAGGATGCTCATAAGAGTGTTAATCTTGGCCTAAACCACAAACTTTTGCATTCAGCCAGTCTAACCAGTTGGTGTTAGACATTTTGGGTTGACTTGATGCTGCAGATTCTTCTGGAATATTTTTGATTATGTTGTTTAAATAGTTGTTTTAATTAGCAACAATATGTCTACTCTTCCTTTTTAACTTTGATTTTCAAGATAAAACAGATCCAGTTAACCTTACTTATGATATTATTATTGCCTCGTAAATATCTTCTTCGGCATTCATCACTGATGAAATTGTCTGTGTTTCTCTTAACTAGCTTGCAGCTGCCTTAAGGAAATAAAATCTGACAGTGTAGATTGACAAGAAAAAATGTAGATATATATCCTAAATAAGTTGCATCATAAAATAGCTATTATGTCCTCCAGCCCTGGGGAAAAAATAGTTTTCTGACATTAAATTAATCAGTAGCAAGATGCTTCTATTCCTTGAATCTCTGCATAAAATCTCTAAAATTGGGATTTAGGAATCAAAATGTAGGGAGGACTATGATTAGCACTACCAAAGATTTAGGAAAGCTCTTATCACCAGCCACTCCTACGGGAAGAGTAACTGACAGCAACTATTCAGGGGAAACAAATACAACTGCTGAGTCATCGCTATTCTAGGCAGAACTCTGTCTGCTGATGTTGTGGAGGTCAATCATCTCTTGGTCCAAAGAACTAGGTAGGATTTGGGATGGAGAGTCAGACAGAATTTAAATTTGGGAAAGAGTCTTTCAGACTGAGTGAGAGGCAACCAGCTATCCCTGCATGGAGCAAGTTAGTCCTGGTCATTTAAATGGCCTCTTCCAACTCACTAGCATCCTATGGGCATTCTACAGAAACGGCACTGGTGACTTTGCACAGAGAAGATGATGATCTTCCAGCATGGAGTAAACCTTTCTCCCTTAACAAAATGCACAAACCACAAAGTATGCAGAAGCGGGGGGGGGAGAACTGGAGGGGCATTCATTACAATATGGGGAATCTAATCTATTTTAGCATGATTATTTATTTATCTATATAATAGAATAATAATAGAATAATAGAATTATTTATTGGCCAAGTGTGATAGGATACACAAGGAATTTGTCTCTGGTGGATAAGCTTGCTATGTACATATAAACAGCAAGTAATAGGTCATAGGGCACAATAATAGTTACAATCATTAATAAGTTACAAACAACAATTGATAAATCATAAGAAACAAGTAGGAGAAGATAGTAGAAAAAATGAGGAGATGAGAAAAGCTGAGAGATGAGGCATTGCTGTGTGGAAATTAAGTGTTCAGCAGAGTGATGGCACTGGGGGGAGGGGACTATTTTTGTGTCCCGTTGTTTTGGCATGCATTGCTCTATAGCGGCGTCCCAGGGGAAAAGTTGAAACAGTTTATGCCTTGGATGTGAGGGGTCTATAGATATTTTCTCAGCTCTCTTTTTGATTTGTGCAATATACAGGCCCTTAATGGAAGGTTGGCTGGTGGCAGTTGTATTTTCTGCAGTCCTAACTGTCTATTGAAGTCTGTACTTGTCCTGTTTGATTGCTGTGCCAAACCACACAGTTATTGAGATACAAATCTCAGACTCAGTAATTCCTCTGTAGAACTGTATCAGCAGATCCTTGGGCAATCTGAGCTTTCTGAGTTGACACAGGAAGAACATTCTTTGTTGTCCCTTTTTAATGATGGTTCTAATGTTAGGTGTCCATTGCAAGTCCTTGGAGATAATAGAATCCAGAAACTTGAAGTTATCTACTGTTGATACCGTGTTGCCTAATATTGTAAGGGGTGGTAGAATAGAAGAGCTTCGTGTAATATCTACTATCATCGGTACAGTTTTAACAGTGTTCAGCTCCAGATTGTTCCAGCTGCACCACAGGGCCAGATATTTTACATCTTGTGTATATGCAGACTCATTATTGTCTTAAATGAGGCCAATAATTGTTGTATCATTTGCAAACTTCAGTATTTAAACAGAGGGATCCTTCAAGATGCAGTCATTGGTATATAGAGAGAAGAATAATAGAGAGAGCACACAGCCCTAGGGGGCTCCTTTGCTAATTGAATGGGTGTTCAATGTGATTTCTCCTAGCTTCACTTGCTCTTCCCATTTGTTAGAAAGCTTATATTCCATCCATTCATATTTCACCTTTATAATTTTTATAAATAATCCAAGGCAGCAAATATACTTAATATACTTCCTTGCTCTATTTTCTCTATGATAACCATGTGAAGTGAGTTGGGCTGGAGCTACCCAGCCGGCTTTCATGCCTAAGGCGGGACTAGAACTCACAGTCTCCTGGTGTTTAGCCAAAGTCACCCAGCCTGCTTTCATGACTAAGGCAGGATTAGAACTCACCATCTACTGGTGATTGGTCCAAGATTACCCAGCTGCTTTCCTACTAAGGTTGGAACTGGAACTCCCAGTCTCCCAATTTTAGCCTGGTGCCTTAACTACTAGACAAACTGACTCTGAAAGCGGCAGAGTATTTTCTCATGTTTTTCACACATATCAGGATCTTTGCCTCCAGAGTCTGTTTTTTGCCACTAGCATATTTTCCTTTCTTTTTCTGCTTGTTTTCCTAACTGATCCTCCAGTCCATTCTCCCAGCCTCCCAGCAATGTCTTAACAAAATGCACAAACCACAAAGTACGCAGAAGTAGGGGGTGGGAGAACTGGAGGGGCAACTAAGTTGTTCTTGTTCTATTTCTGTTTCAGGGACGGGACTCCTGGCACCCAGAGCGTAACAGAAAAGTTTGAAGTGAACTGGGAAAGTGTCATGGTCAGCTCCCACAGTGCCATCGTGATGAAGTTTGATGGGCGTGGAAGCGGATTTCAAGGGACTAAACTCTTGCATGACATTAAAAGAAGATTGGGCTCTGCTCAAGAAAAGGATCAAACAGATGCTGTTCGGTGAATGACCTTAACTCACTGAAATTGAAATCAGTGACTAATTGTATACTCAGTGATACTTGCAGTGATTTATTTCAAAATATTAAATCATTTCTAAATTTTGGAGAGAGGCAGTTTGAGTACTGAACCAAAAGGCTATCAAGGAGCTCAAATGTACAAGTGTAATTTCTCCCTTTTGCAATTTGTACTTCTATGTATCAAGGCAAAGCTGGGCCTTGCTGTAGTGAACAGGAGTTGGCTTCAACACAAATGTATCTTTTTTGTTTTTTTTTCCCCAGGGCAATGCTGGAAAAGACATTTATCGATAAGACTCGAGTTGCTGTGTTTGGGAAGGTGAGTGTCCTTGAAACAGCTTCTGCTATTTCTCCAGGATTTTGACCTGTAGCTTGCAGGACTATGTCTAAAGTTTATTGTGAGAGCCATTGTGATGCTGTTGAATAGAAGGGGGCGGGGGCTATGAATTCTAGTCCCACCCTAGGCCAGGGATAGGCAACCTTGGCTGTTTTATGACTCATGGACTTCAACTCCCAGAATTCCTGAACCAGCCATGCTGAGGGGAAAGGGAGAGTTTCCAAGCTGAGCCATGCTGGCTCAGGAATTCTGGGAGTTGAAGTCCATGAGTCATAGAAGAGCCAAGGTTGCCTACCCCTGCCCTAGGCACAAACCTAACTAGAATGGCAAACCACTTCTGAAAAATGTTGTGGCCCACAAATATCCACATACACGCATGGGGAGATGTATGCCAAATTTACCAAAAAAAAAAAAAAAAAAAAGGACACACCCCTTCAGATGTTTGTAAGATGCTCCATAGGGATCCCAGTGGACTGCAGGCAGGATACAGTTTTTGCCTCACTGCATTGAGACAAAACCCTTATAGCATTAATCCTACTATAGGTGAGTTTCCCAAAATTATGGGGGGGGTCAGCCCTCAGAGAAAAACAAACTGCCCAGTTCTGGTGCTCTTGGATTGGGTAGAAACAGAATCTCCCCAAAATGAAAAAGGAGTCAGTGAGAACATGGAGATGAAATCTGTAAAGGAGGTCCTTGAGTTACAATCAATCGCTAAGCAACCTACTTGGAAAAAGAGAGTTACGACTAGTTCCGATGGCCCACCCATTCCCAGGGTCACATCATTTCAGGCACTCAGCATCACGGGCACGTTTGTGGCCATTCGCAGCGTTCCGTAGTCACATGACCATTTCTTCTTGAAAACCAGAACCTATTTCCAATTCTTATCAGAACCGAGTCATAGTGAACAATGAGTTCGCTTAATGGCTGTAGCATTAATTTTACAACTGCCTCATTCATTTAATTTGCTGCAAAAAAAGGTCATAAAAGCGGGTCAGTTGCGTGATTGACTCAAATTCCAGCTATTCTGACATACAACCCTAATGGTCAGGCTTTGTTACAGTCACCTGTCAAGTTGCTTGATCCCCCCCTCCCCCCACACACATTTTCATCTCTTTTCCTTTTTTCTTTGCCTCTCAGGATTATGGTGGCTACTTGAGTTCATACATCCACTTTTCTGGAGAAGAAAATAAAGAGCCAAGCTTCTTATGTGGTGCTGCTCTTTCCCCATTGTCAGACTTCAGATTATATGGTAAATAGGGATCTCGTTGGGCTGACAGGAATAAAAGCAAGTTTTTCATTGCATGGCCAGGAATCTTAGTATACTGCTATTCAAAACAGGTTTCAACTCCTTAAGGTTGCAAACATTAATAATAAAATATGCAAGCCAGGCCAGTGAAATGCCAAGGTGGAGGCTTCTGGCTGAGAAAAGGATGTGATGCATAGGCTAAATAAGGAAATTGACTAGAACTTTAGAAGAAAGCCATAAGTATTCATCTGCATGCCTTAGAAATCTGGCTAGCTTTGAACAACTTGCAGTACTGGGTGAACTGAGTACAAGACAGAGCCATCTGAAGCAAACCTATTACATTTCAAAAGATAATATCCTGTGCTAGGAAGACAAGTATGGCTCAAATCTTCATGCTTTTTTCATGATCAGTCTGCTTTGATACTGAATGACTGCTCATGTTTTCCAGCTTTGCTGATGAGAAGCCCCCCTTTTTGTTGGGTTTGGAGGAGAATGCCTTGAAGGAAGGGAGGAAGGAAGGGAGGACAGGGCGAAGGAAGGAAGGAAGGAAGGAAGGAAGGAAGGAAGGAAGGAAGGAAGGAAGGAAGGAAGGAAGGAAGGAAGGACAGGGCAAAGGAAGGAAGGAAGGAAGGTAGGACAGGGCAAAGGAAGGAAGGAAGGAAGGAAGGAAGGAAGGAAGGAAGGAAGGAAGGAAGGAAGGAAGGAAGGAAGGACAGGGTAAAGGAAGGAAGAAAAAGGAAGAAAGGAAGGACAGGGCAAAAGAAGGAAGGAAGGAAGGAAGGAAGGACAGGGTAAAGGAAGAAAAAGGAAGAAAGGAAGGACAGGGCAAAGGAAGGAAGGAAGAAAAAGGAAAGGAAGGACAGGGTGAAGGAAGGAAGAAAAGAATGAAGGAAGCTGATGGGAAAGAGGAAGGGAGGGAAGGAAGGAAATTAGTGGAAGGAAGGAAGGAAGGAAGGAAGGAAGGAAGGAAGGAAGGAAGGAAGGAAGGAAGGAAGGAATAATGCTAAAACTGTGCAACAACTTTCTTACTTGTTGTTTAACCATATTCTTTTGTTCAAAATCTTCCCAAATAATTCTGAGAATCCAAGCCTCTTACTCCACCCAGCAGGAATAGCTGCAGGATATTGAGATGATGTAGCAAATAAAGAATAAAAATAACTAAATAAAAAATAGAAAACCTTGAAAAAGATTGAGGCCAAAACTGCCCAGATCGTCTTCCTGGGCTGAGACTTCCCTAGTCATGTGCCATATTTAAGAAAACTGTCCCATTGACAAAAATTGCTTAAAGATCCTGCCTATGGAATATTTCAGCGTTATAATAGGTCCAGATATGTATGTTTTTCAACCTGTAAGACAAAGATTCAAAAACAGAAAATGCCATCCAAGTTTAGTATCAATACTTTGAATTTAAATTTCATATTTTTTTCTTTTCTTCCCTCAGCTTCAGCCTTTTCAGAAAGATACTTGGGATTACAAGGGTTCGACAATAATAAGATATATGAGGTAAATCAGGTTAACTGTGATTTATTTACTTAGTTATTTAATAAATTATTAATTTATTAAGCACAATGCTATTTAAGAGTAGGCAATGGGGATGGCAGTAGTTAGAATGCATTCTTTATTTATTTATTTTATAAACTTCTCTTCAGATCAAATATATTCTCCAAATATCTATATTTGATCTGCAGACAAAATAGGATCTTGTATTTTATATTTTTGATTATTTGAGGAGTGAAAATATATATTAAGAAACAAATGACAAAACCTGTAGTAAGTTAGTTTATTGCAGTCATTAACAGCAACGCTTTAAACTGCCTTCCACTTTGTTTAAGATACAACATACTAAAGTGCAAAATCACAACATACTGAAATCGTGACAACATCAAAAAATAATATGAAAGCGTAATATTAAAGAAAGGGTTTCCAAATGTTATTTCTTTTTTTAAAAAAAAATATTTTTCCTGATATAATTTATTTATTCATTTAAAGACAAGAATAAAAGAAGATAAAAAAGATACTAAAAACATAAAAAGGGGGAAGAGAATAGAACACAGCAGAGTAGAATAGAATAGAGCAGAAGTTGAACAGAGTAGAACAGAAGAGAAGAGAATAGAATAGAACAGAGTAGAGTACAGTACAGCACAGTACAATACAATGTAATACAATATAATACTTTGTTGGCCAAGTGTGATTAGACACACAAGGAATTTGTTCCCAGTTCAGAAGCTCTCAACAGAGTAATAATAATCATAATAATGATACCAATAAGAGGGGGTAGTAAAGAAGATAAGGATAATAATAATACTACAGTTATACTACAAGGGTAAATATCTTTAGGCGTAAGACAATATATGGGAATTAGGCATTTAGCAGAGTGATGGCATGGGGAGGGGAAACTGTCCCTATATCTAGTTGTTTTGGCATGCAATGTTCTACAACACCATCCTAAGGGGTTGAAACAATTTATGCCCAGGAAGTGAGGTTTCTGTAGATATTTTCTCAGCCCTCTTTCTGGCTCGTGTAGTATACAGATCTTCCATAAAAGGCAGGCTGGTTGTAATTATTTTTTCTGCAGTCCTAAATATCCATTGAAGTTTGTACCAGTCCTGTTTAGTTACTGTACCAAACCAGACAGATATCAAAGTACAGATGACAGATTCAACAATTCCTTTATAGAATTGTATCAACCACTAATATTTTCCATGGAAATAACAATTTAACATTTTCATAAAATATATCCTGCTTTCTATAAATATCAGAAAGGTGTATACAGATCAGAAAAAAGGAGGTAGTACACAAAATAATATGCACAATAATATTCTGTTAAAGCTAATTCCTACTCAGGACAGTAAGAGGGATAGCATACAAATTTGGTAAATAAATAAATAAAATGTTAAATGCTATATTAATTATGGTGATTTTTAAAGTGTCTATAATATTGAAAATACTTCTTTCACTCTTCTCAGCTCACTAAACTCTCTCACCGAGTAACATCAGTGAAAGACCAAAATTTTTTGATCATCCATGCAACAGCTGATGGTAAGATTATGTGAACCAAGCCAATAGATACTCCCCACTTAAATAAAGCAAAAGAAAAGCTTTAGTTTACTCCCAATAAATATTTTATTTTGTTTTTTTGGTAATTCAATTCTTCACTTCCTGGAACTTAATTATTTTAATCTAATTTTACAGAGAAAATTCACTTCCAGCACACTGCAGAGTTCATCACTCATCTAATTAGGACAAAAGCTAATTACAGTTTGCAGGTATTATGCTATCACACAATCACTTTTTTAAACAAGTGTAGTCTCTCTCTCTCTCTCTCTCCCTCCCTTCCTCCCTCTGTATGTGTGTATGTGTGTGTATGTTTGTGTGTGTGTGTGTGTGTGTGTGTGTGTGTATTCTGAGGTTTTCACGGGTGTTTGTATGTAGGTCTTTGGTTATTCGGGTTTTCTCCCGTGTCAAATTGGAAGTGTCTTGGCGACGTTTCAATGAAGTCTCATTCGTCATCTTCAGGCTGGTGTTTTCGGCTTCGTGCTTCTAGGAGCAATGTGTGATCGTAGCTGTTTCTTCAAAAAGGAAGAAACAGCTACAATCACACATTGCTCCTCCCATGGATCTTCGTTTTCTCTAATTGTTTTAGAGAATTCGCCCAAACTACTGTTACAAGTTATAATCTTGGGAATTTCATCATTTGCTTTTATCACATTAGTAGACAACAACATAAAAAGATTTTAACATGTTAAATTTTAAGGACTACTTATATATAAACCTTCCTTGCACTATATATCCCATCCCAGCTCATAATTGTGAGTAATTGATCATCCTTAGACTTTGAACAGGGACTTTTGGATGAAAATCCAAAAAATCAAGTTGAGGGCCTCAACTGTTTAATTGAAATCCCACCCCCTTTTTATTATGCATTTGACATGTAAACAAGGGGAGCCTTTTTGGTTTTTTGGAGAAGACACCCCCCTCCCAAAGATTGAGACTCATCTCAACCACAACTCTTTCCTTGGCAGATCTACCCTGACGAAGGTCACTACTTCAACAGCCCAACCCTGGAGCAGCACTTGTACAAGTCCATAGTCAATTTCTTTGTGGAATGTTTCAATGTCCCGGACAAAGTCCCAGTGGTTTCCACAAAAGAAGACGAGGATGAAGATTAACTTTCTGGGCTTGTGCTAAGAAGCACAAGGCGACTTTTCAAAAAGATATGCAACTAAACCCTCCCGATTTCCCTTCCCTGACGAAAAGAGTGTTATGTGAGCATGTATTTAAGAAAAGTGAAATGGAAAAGCAGTCCTGGTGCTGGAATTGGAACTCCTGCCTTCTCGAACGGAAGAATATTTAAGCATGAGGAACTCAGCAGACACTGATGTTGAAGACCAATCCCTATGAACAAAAATGGCCGCCGCGTGATTTCTGATTAAAGATCCTCGACTGGGAAACAGAACCCGAAAGGCAAATTTGCCAAGATGCCCACAGCAACCCTCAAGTGCAAGTCCAAGATATGAGTAAAACCCACCCTCTGTCTATGTTAGGGGTCTCTTATTTAGCATCTCATTGTTTCCTATAAAGTGAACCATCCACCGAATAAAGATTATAGCACAATTATTTTTCGAGGGTACCGAATTGTGTGTTGTTTACCTGTTGTCTTCTGCATTTCCAAGAAATTAGGCTTTGCTGCAGAACTGCTCAGTTATACAAGCATTTTCTTTTGTATAAAGCACTGTTGTAGCTTGACTGTACAGACATTTCTGTATATAGTTTTTAGCTGTTCCCCCCCCCCTTTTACTTCAGCCTTGGACTACTAAATCTTTGTTGCTGCAACGTACCCTGGCTTTAAGAAAACCCCTTTAAAGCTTAGAGAGCCACAGGAATTCTGGCTTAAGAATTGTTTAGATATTCTGGAACTCTTTCTGTCTGTTCCTTTAGCTTTATGGATTTGAATTGTCCAGTATTAACCAATATTTTGTCATGCTTTTTTTAAAAAAGTCCTTTTTTAGAGGGACAGGAATAGCTGCATGACGATGTCATCTTACAATATCCCCAAGTTGCTAGTCCTTACTGTTGCGGATTGGCAGATTGGGAAAATGTGAGAAATTACTCTCAAAAGATCATGTCTTAATCATGCTTGGAGTGTCTTGTATAGCAAATGAGTAGCTTTCCTGGAAATGGGAATATTCTCTTGAATTGCTTCTCTTGCTTTTACCACAGCTATAGCTTCTGTCATTTCTACTGTTACCTTCATAATATTGCACAGCTTTTAATTAGTCATAACACACTGCCTTATCTATACATTGTGTTAATGTAATGATAAAAATCTGGGTTGGGACATTGCAAATTTGCCTTTTTTTTCTTTGATTTTTTTTTTCCTGGAATTTTGAAGACAGACCTATCATTTCTTTCTTAGAGTTCAGAGGAGACAAGATTAAAATAGTTCAAAACTACCCCCAATCTATATTTTGATTCCTTGAATTCCTCTTTTTCTCCTTCTTCTCTTTTCTTTTGCTTTGCTACTGTTCCTCCCTGTAAATTATTCTGACCCAATGTACAACTAATATATGAATATTGTGTACTTCATTTTGTAATGTATAAAAGGAATGTAAGTCAAAGATTTGTCAAGTTCCCTTCTGCTCCGGCCTCTTAGATTATTCTTACTCTTCTTACGTGTTGTGTTCTGCGTGCATGTGAGAACTCTTATTTGCTTATTAAGGCCCCTTAGAGGTGTTCATTCAGACTAAATTAACTTCGTGGCTCCTTTTTTACTGTGTTTGACAGCTTGAATGTCAGTGCAGGTCTCTGCATTTTTACATGTATTATTAAGAGAACACAAATCCAAGACCGCAGGAGAATTTGTGATATACTTCATCCAGATTTTTTTTTTCTGTCTCTGCTTTATTTTAGGTTGAGATTGTTAGCTGTTGGTGGCAATTAGATCCTCGTGGGAGATACATTAGTAAACCAAACCCCAAGGCAAGGGGGGGGGGGGAATCAGGAATCTCACTGATTTTTTTTCCCCTTTTCATAGTTTACTCTGCATCAAGAGTCATATAGAAAGCTATTGCAGAATAATCCATTCCTTCAGCCAAATGCCAAATAGACCATGTGAATGGTACGGGTCCAGGTTTCGATAACCTTATAGGCCAGAATGCCTGAGCTGATTTTGCTCCAGAGGAGGCGATCCCTTGCTCTGTTTATAAAATTTTGTAAAGAAGAAGCCTGGTGTGGCACAATAGTGTTTGTTCATCCATGAAATAAAGCATTATTTTACCATCTAGGTTGTTGTGGTTACTCTTTCTTAACAATTGCATGACTACACAAGTTGACATAAACTAATGCATGCCTCTGAACTTCATTGTGAGCTTCAGAAGATTCTCTGTAAGGAAGGTTGCTCTGTCCAGCAAGGGATGAGCCTTTAATCATTGACTGAAAGGAGTCAAGCCATCTCCACTTGACATCTAAGAGGGAGATGTCTCTTTCAAAGGCAGATGTTTTTTCAACTGATCTCCCAATTCGGGAACTAGATCCATGTTCCCAAAGAAAATGAATTGGCCATTCCAAAGATTGAGAAAGACTGAGATACATATGGATTTGAATTTGTAAATGACCCAAAGCATGCTTAAAAAGAGTTATTCTTTAAGATAGATGATAGATAGACAGACTGACATAGAAATAGATAGACAGACAGACAGACAGATTATATACATGGCACTGAATAGATGGCAGTTCTTCATGGATTAGATTCCATATTTGATCTGTTTCAGTTTTGCTTTTGCTTAAATACAGAATTGGCAAAATGCAAAGCCAATTACATCATCATTCTGTGATTCCTCAATGCTTTCTGAACTTGGCTGTTTTCTTTCAGACCTTTCATTACCCAACTAGTAGCAGTGATGATAATACATAGTTGGGTAATGAAATGTCTACAAGAAATGATCAAGCTCAGAGAGCATCAAGGACTTTACAGTTTTGTATGCAATGTTTGAGAAGAAACCTCAATGAAAACATAAGGAAGTAAATAGAGATGAGAGGGATCAGGTTCAAGGCAGTCCAGAATTATGAGCTGACTTATATGATGATTAATATCTGGCCTGAAATACTTGGACTATCCTACAATCTTAACTGTCTCCCTAAATGTAACATCTATGAATTATGAGAAACTACAGTTCCTATTAACCAAACCAAGAAGGCAACAGCAGCTGAGTGGTCCCAAATTAGACACTACATAACAGCAAAGGAATGCTTCACAACCCATCTCTAGATGTCCTTCATCCCACTTGTCAATATTCAAGAATTTATTTCCCTCAATCCATTTTCCACTCTACCCTCTGGAGCTTAGCTCTGTCCTTCAGTCTTTCTCCCATGATATAAGCCTAAGAAAGTCTTCCTAAAAATAGATATTCTTTTTCAGGCATTTATTTCTCGTTACTTTTCTCCATCTCCCATATATGTTCTCTTTGTTCCAATTTGCACATGTCATTTGCATTTTCACCCATGCCACGTGATCATATCCCTTTTCCCTTCATTCATAATATTCCCTACTGGCTCTTTAGGGACTTACTCACAGCACACATTACAATTTCAAGAAGGTTAATTGGATTTCACTCTCCAAAGTCAAACTCTGATCAGCATCTGACATTGGGGCCCCCCTCCCAACATCCTTACTGCCTTCAGGGTCTCTGTTTCTACAGTCAGAAAGCCATGAAGACAGATTGGCTGCCCTTGAACAGGGTCTGTCGTGGCCAATCTCTGCCTTCTACCACCATCCCTTGATCTACATTGACATGAATGAGACGTTCTTCTGCCCTGGTGAGAATAAACAACAATCTTTCTCCACGTCTGCTGCAGTGATATTGTGTCTCTTTTTAAATTCCACATAGATTATCTTAATATCCTTTAAAGGCTAAGAGTTCATGATCCTTTTCCAGGCTGAGCTTATAGAGCCAAAGGTTAGCCAGTTATCTTAAGCTATGTTTCATACTGAATATGCCAACCTAGTCTATTCATTTCATGGCTTTTGTTCCAGGTCTGTTTCAATTTAAAAACAACACAGAGTAGTGAGTTAAGGCAGGGCTTTTCAACCAGTGGTACGGGTACCACCAGTGGTACGGGATGCCACCTCTGGTACATTGGCCCCTGGCAGGTAGTACGCGACCATCCTAGAAAAGTAGCGGGGGAGGGGAATGAGCTGAACCGGTGGCAGCACCGTACAAGCCTGAGCAAGAGATGGCTGGAGCTGCAGGGCTGTCAGAGCTCAGCAGAAGCGCCAGGATCAGTGCCAGGCTCCAGCTGGAGCTCAGCGCTGATCCTGGTGCTTCTGCTGAGCCCAGAAGAAGCACCAATCAGCTGGAATGTTGCAGCATCTCCAGGGTCTTGTGATTTACATTCAGATGCTTGGCAGTTGACGGTCACAGTGTCCCAGGGTCTTGTGAAGTGACCAAAACCTGCTGCAACCACCCAGCAGATGGGGGGAATAAAAACCAAACACCCCCACCCCACCCCCACTGCCAATCCTCAACAGAAACGTTCACAACAATGAAAACTTGGACAGGAGGAAGAGCACCGTCGGGTGGGCAGGCAGGTGTCTTGCTCGGCTGTGGCTTGGGGGGCACTTTTTTCAGTGCCATTGTAACTTCGAACAGTCACTAAGCGAACTGTTGTAAGTCGAGGACTACCTGTACTTTATCACTTTTTTCCTTTTTTTTTTGGGTCATCAAGTTTTTGACACCTTGCTAGGCGACTGGTGGTACTCGGATGTTTCCATATCCTAAAAGTGGTACAATGGGTGAAAAGGTTGAAAAGCCCTGAGTTAAGGAACAGCTGGATAAGAATGGCTAACAAGAGTTGTGTGATGCATGGTTAATTGGGAAAAGATGAGGCAACATAACAGAAAATCTGTAGGAAGTCCTTGGTGCTCTCTGAGTTTGGTTGTTTTCTTGCAAACTCTTCTCTCTAAAGAAAAGAAAGAAAACATCCAAACTCGGAGAGCACCAAGGACCCCTGATTTCAACTCTGAGATGCAAATATTCTTTAAATTTGATTGGATTTATACTAAAGAAAACTGAATACATTTGAAGCAGTACCTCTCGTTTTTTTAGGGAAGTGATGAGCAGGAAGAATAAAGGACATTATGGGGCACGGTGAAGAATCTATTTTTCACATTTGTAAACCATGATTTCAAAACAAATATTGTCATGCAAGTTTCTTGTTTAGAAAGTGTGGCTGAACTCCAACATCTGTGGTGATTCTCAGTCATCCAGGTCACAGTTGTCTCAAAGATGCTTTTTAAAAGAGGCAACTGGATTTTCTTGTTTTTCTTTGAAGATGTTTCGCTTCAAACTGAAGAAGCTTCTTGGATGAGAAGTGAAACGTCTTCAAAGAAAAACAAGGAAGTCCAGTTACCTCTTCTAAAAAACACCTACGGATTGATCTCCAATGTTTACTAAGTGGGATTCCTCAGAATTCTGAAATTCTGTAGATCTAGAAAAGTAAATATTGTGGACAGTTGAAGTTTAAGAATTCTAGTTACAAGTAGTCCTCAATTTACAACAGTAAATGGAATCTGCCCATCACAGTCATAAGTCATGAGAGTCGTACATCGGTTCACCCACATGACCCACTGAATTTTACTACCTTTTCTGAGGAGGTCATTAAGCAGATGTGGCAGTTATAAAGCAACCACCACAGTCATTAAGTGCCCGCTGTAGTTGTTGTGAATCAATGATTAAGATAAGAGAACCAGGATGGGTGAATTTTGCTGAAAACTAGAAATAAAAACCAGGTTTCAGGAAACCATTATTAACAGCAGTTATGCGAATGCAGGACGCTGCAAATGACTGTAAATATTGGTTAGCTGCAAAGCACCATAGAACTTCAGAACCAGGAAGGTTCACCGTAACTAAGCAATCAGTCATAAGTCAAGGACCTTTATTGAATATTGGATTTAACTGCACTAGAAATGTTTGCTTTTCTCCCTCAGTGATAATACTTCAAATATTTTAAGTTGTTCCACTAAGTTGAGCTGCTGAATAATTAAAGCAATATTTGTGGGTTTTGCACTGAAAATTCCTAACAGCTGTGGCATGTTTTGATATTTATAAAGCTCGATAAATTATGCATCTGCCTGGGCACCGAGCTCAGCGTGACACTTATTAATATCACCGTTCTAGCCACAAAAAGCTCCCGTTCATTTAATTTTATTCCTGCTGTTTTGTCAGGAACAACAAGAGCCCACTGTCGGACTTAATCAGGCTTGCCAGGAAGGTTTCAATTGTGGATCAAGAATCTGACAGTGACTTTTGACTGCATTTCTATGTCCTGTTAGAAAAACACTAATTTAGAGAAAAGAAAACCCTCATGGAAATTAAAGGGCTGCTTTCAGCTGTACATACTAGATAAACAGGGCAATAATTAATTGTCCATTCTTTGGACATTAACATGATATTAACATGGAGTTGTTGGTCCTTTCTTCTGGTGCGGACCACCAGACTATATTAAAATTTATTTATATTAGACTGCAGTATCTCTAAGTTGGAAAAGCTATTTGAAGCCAAACTCCTGTTCTGTGGAGGACGCAACATAAGATTCCGTAACACACCCTGTACAATCCCCACTTGAACATAAAGCAGTGGTTCTCAACCTGTGGGTCGGGAGCCCATTTGGGGTCGAACGACCATTTCACGGGGGTCGTCAAACAAGGCTGTCCACCATTTTCCCCCCTTTCCTTAGCTGTGCTACTCTACTTGAATAGAGTCTAATTCTATTGGCTTTCAAAAGCCAATAGGAATTGTCCAGGCTGTCTCTGCCCTGCTGAGCCTGCCAAAAGTCCCATTCTGCGAACGGTGCTGCACCAGTTGAGTAGTCGTCGACTTACGATCGGTTGAGTAGTCCTTGACTTACAACCGGTTGGGGGGGGGGTCGCGGCATTAAAAAGATTGAGAACCACTGTCTTAGAAGAAGAAAGCCCTTTTTTGGTCAATCAGAGATTTTGAAAAATCTACGTCATCTACATCAGAGTTTTTCAATCTCCATGACTTTAAGATGTGGGGACTTCCAGAATCAGTAGCTAGCTGGAGAATTGTGGGAGTTAAAGCCCACACATCTTAGAGTTGTCAAGGTTGAGAAATACTGTCTCGTGTAGGAATGGAGAATTTGCTGGCAATGGAGCTTATCTGGCCTGTTCTGTGAGGGCATCAGCTGGGGCCTGTCACTTTCTGTGCTTCCTGATATCCTTCACCTCTATCTTCATTTTGTTGAGGTAATTTAGCACCCCGGAGC